GGGTGTAGGCGGCCTGATGCCTTGCTATTGACACCGGAAGAGCCTGCTTGTATTCTCACTCAGATGGTGGGAAACGGGGATAGGAGGTTAAAACTCACCTTGGGAAATCCCGGAATAAGTAGTGCTGGACAGAAACCCGTTCAACACCATCGAATGTGATGAAAGGGAAAACCAGGACTGGGGTATTTCTTCTTCTTCTTTTTTTTTTTAAAGAATCTATTTTCCAGTAATCTCCATGCCCAACATGGAGCTCAAACTCCCAACCCCAAGATCAAGAGCCACACGTGGCACTGAGCCAGCCGGGCATGCCAGGGCTGGGGCATTTGGAGGCCACTACTTTAAGACTAGCATTGGCATGACCCTGTTCATGGTTTCGTTTGGGGTACAATGGTATCTGGTCCACAGGAAAATGACTGCAGGAAGATTTGCTTTTTGATCATTAAAAGTTTTTATTAATGTTTATTTTTGAGAGTGAGAGAGACAGTGTGAGCAGGTGAGGGGCAGAGAGAGAGGGAGACAGAATCCAAAGGAGGCTCCAGACTCTGAGCTGTCAGCACAGAGCCCAATGCAGGGCCCGAACCTGCGAACCACGAGATCGTGACCTGAGCCAAAGTCGGACGCTCAACGGACTGAGCCACCCAGGCGCCCAGCTGTTTGATCATTCTAGACCCTACAGTAACTGCACAGTGTGCTGTAGTGAGAAACACATTGGATCAAACCTGAGTTCAGTCCTGAAGGACCAGGGCAAGATAATTTAGCTCATCTGAGGCTCAGGTTATCTGCGAGAATCTGGAGTTTAATCATCTCTACATAGGGCTCTTGTGGAGATTAAATGAGGCATGTAAAAGCATTCTATGAAATGTTATGCAGATAATAGCTAACAGATATTTTAGTATTCTACAGTCAGCATAATTTAATATCCTCTACCATTAATATTTTTATTATTTTTTTTTGAAACTACACCCAACATGGGGCTTGAACTCATGACTCCAAGATCAAGAGTTGCATGTGCTACTGACTGAGGCAGCCAGGTGCCCCCGTTTTATTGTGTCTTAACTTTTTTATTTTTCAAGTTATAACTTAGAAATAATTTCAGACTTAAGTTGCAAAATAGTGCAGAAAATTCCCATATACTCTCAGATTCCACAAAACGTGACACTTCACCACAATTTCAAAAACCATCTAACATTGACATCACCTATACAGTAACAGAGCCTCGATATCATAAACTCCCCAGTTACCCTACTAGTGTTCAAGGTCCGGTCCAGAATCCGAGGACCATATGCTGCCCTTCGTCGTTATCTCATTTTCATTTCCTTTATCTGGGTGTTCCTTAGTCTTGGCCTCTCATGACCTTTATACATGTTTTTCTTTAAAATTTTATTTTATTTTTAAAAAAAATTTTTAATGTTCTATTTATTTCTGAAAGAGAGGGAGACACAGAATCCGAAGCAGGCTCCAGGCTCTGAGCTGGCTGTCAGCACAGAGCCTGACGCGGGGCTCGAACCCACAAACTGTGAGATCATGACCTGAGCCGAAGTCGGATGCTTAACTGAGCCCCCCAGGCGCCCCTAAAATTTTATTTTTAAAAGCTGCTTGTTCTACTTTTTAAAGTTTTTTTTTTTTTTTTTAAGTAAGTTCTGTGCCCAATGTGGGGCTTGAACTCACGACCCCGAGATCAAGTTGCATGCTCTACTGACTGAACCAGCCAGGTGCCCCCCATGATCTTTAGAATTTTGAAGATTACGAGTCAGATACTGTGCAGATTTATACTGCAGTTTTGGTCTATTATGCTTTATTATGGTTCATACTTGTTCGCATTAACACTGTGACAGTGCATGCTTATTCATTCCATCAGGGCTGGTGTAATAATGGAAATACGGTGTCCTGGTTAAGTGCACGGACTCTAGCCAGCATACCTAGGTTGCTGACTGGTTGGCTCAGTTGGTGGAGCATGTGATGCTTGTTCTCAGGGTTGTGAGTTTGAGCCCCATGTTTGGCATAGAGATTCAGGAAAAAAAAAAAAAAAAGAGAGAGATCTGGGTGCCTGGGTGGCTCAGTCAGTTAAGCGTCCTACTTGGGTTCAGGTCATGATCTTGCAGTTTCCTGAGTTTGAGTCCCAGGTTGGGCGCTGGGCTAACAGCTCAGAGCCTGGAGCCTGCTTCAGATTCTGTCTCCCTCTCTCTGCCTTCCCCCTACTCACACTGTCTCTTGTCTTTCTCTCAAAAATAAATATTAAAAAAAAATTATAAACAGGCAGGGTGCCTGGGCGACTCAGTCGGTTAAGTGTCCAACTTCGGCTCAGGTCATGGATCTCACCGTTCGTGGGTTCGAGCCCCGCGTCGGGCTCTGTGCTGACAGCTCGGAGCCTGGAGCCTGCTTTGGATTCTGTATTTACTTCTCTCTCTGCTCCTCCCCCACTCATGCTCTTTCTCTGTGTCTCAAAAATAAACAAATGTTAGAAATTTGGTTTTAGGACCCATGTAATCAACTATTCCCTCTTGGCCTCAATTCCCAAGAAGCTCACACCCAAATTTATTAAAAAAAAAAAATTATAAACAACAACAAAATCTGGGTGTACCAGGTAGTATGGGGTGGGGCTGCTTGAAGGTTGCTTTTCCCCTAAATACTGTGCTTGGAAAAACCGTTCTCTTTACAGCTCACTTGCATCCGCCTTCCCTGTCCAGTTCCCCAGGAGTCAGTAGAAACATGTTCCTGGAACGAGGGCCCCTTGCTAAGGGCCACTGACCTTCCAGGCTTGCCTGGAACTTTCCTAGCGTCAGCACTCAAAAGTTCCACGGCCCGGAAGACCTCCTAGTTCCCAGCTGAGACGGTGTGGTGTGCGGCGTAACTGTCCCCCGAAAGGTGTCCACGTCCTTCCCGATTCCTGCAACCTGTAAATGCGTCACGTTAACCTGCAGATGGGATGTAAAGATGCCCAGACGGAGGGATTATCCTGGCTTAATCCACATGGGACCCGTGTAACCACAGGGGGACCGCGGGAGTGTCAGACTCGGAGATGTGGCCGTGGAAACCGAGAGCAGAGAGACTGGAAGACGGACCGGGAAGGGGTCATGACACAAAGACAGGAGACGACCAGGGGGCAGGTCTCCCCTAGGGGCTTCCGGGAAAAACACATCTCGATTTTAGGACTTCCAGAGTTCTAGGAGGATACATTTGTGTTGGAGGAAAAACAGAAACTCGTGGCTCTGGCCGGCTGTGGGACCCTGCTGTGCCTCCCGATCCCCCCTCCGTCGGATGGACACGTGTTAGTGCCCACTTCATGGGAGCCATTACAGGCCTGACCCTACGGAAGATACGGGAACGGTGCCCGGCACGCAGCAAGTGCTGCGTAAGTGTTAATACGAGGGGTTGGGATTTTAGTGGGTTTCCTGGTACGAAGTATGTCCCGGCAAGTTGACCGAGACCAAAGCAGCAGCAGGCATCTGAAGCGTGAACATCCTGTACCCTCCCCACACGAAGAGCCAGTCCGGTCCCCCCCGACCCCCACCCCCGGCCGGCTCCTGGCACTTGCTCGGAAGGCCCATCAGAGGCCGACCTCCTCGATCCGCAAGCGGCGTCCCTTCAGCACGCTAGGTCCGCGTGTGAGGGTCTGGGCCCAGGTTTCTCCGCCCCGGAGTTGCTGGCAGGACGTGTCAAATGAATTTTCAGAGTCATGAAATAATTCAGCCCCTGTTTTTCCCACAGCCACTTCCAGCGCTCGGGCCTTCAGGCCTCATTGGTATGCGCCCGGCACCGCAGCCGGGACACAGGCGGGATAACCATAGTGATAACCTTGGCCCCTAACCTTTGTGTGAGCGCTTCTTGTTGAAGGGCCCAAACCACTCAGCCTCTCACAATACTTACTTTATTGGCCAGTCCCGGGGCAGGCGCGCCGTGAGGCAGCTCCCCACCGGGCTGGACGGGGGAAGGGAAGGGAGGAAGCATGCACAGACTAAATCCCAGAAGACTGAAAGAATCCACACCATGGTCACATCTATGGAAATTCAGTAAATGGCAACTCTTCATTCAAAAGATCAGAGCAATAAAACTCCCCTTAACAAGAACCTGGCGATGACTTCATCGGAGTAACAGATGACATTTTACAAAGCAGTTTGGATCCTTCACCTCCTCTGACCACCCCTCACGCCCAAGCCGCCATTTTCCGGGTGAGGAGACGGTGGAGGAAAGTGGCTCCGAGTGCAAAGCTGGAAATTGAACCCCAGCCTCACCTCCCAACACAGGACATTTCCCCCTTACCAAAACACCAAAGAGAGGCGCCTGAAACGGACAGAAGGCTGCATGTGAGCTATACTGACATTCAAATAAAGAATAAGGGTAAAAAAAAAAAAAGGAAATTCACTAAATGTAGGTCAAGGACTTAACATGATTAAAAGGCTATGAGAACGTAGACTTACGTGTGAAAATGTAACACGACCAGCCCCCGTGGAAAACCTGTAGTCTCTCAGCATCGGTAACGGGGGGGGGGGGGGGGGGCGGTGTAAGAAAAGGTCAGTTCACAAGGTCTTAGGTGCAGGAATGGAGGGAGGAGAGGGAGGGGCATGGGGAGGGAGGGAGGGAAGGAGGGGGATGTGTGTATGCGCGCGCACACACAGACACACACACACACACACACACACACCTTTGACCAAATTTCAAGCTCCTGTAAACTGCTGTATGTTTGGATAGTTAAGAATCAAATGATTTCAAGGAGATGGAGACACACCGCACGTCGCACCGCCTCCAATGTGTGACTGCCAAGCACACAGACTTGCAGCAGGTACTTGCTGACTGGGCCGAACTTTTGCCGATGCAGACCCCGTCTCCTTCACAGCTCCCACAACTACCGTAACCCACCCAAATGAGGTGCGCCCTAAAATGCCACTTGAACGCACGTAGAAACAGGCACAGAGAAAATTAAAACGTGACTTCCCGTCGCCAAGTTGCTTCCCTATTTTTATGCCACCCCAAGACCATTCCAAAAAAGAGGCTAAAATAGCAATCGTATCATACCAAAGTTTATTGATACATCAAACAAAAATTTCTGTAATGAAAAAGGCAAGTTGCATTCATAAAAGATGGCATTCACAGTCATTATAGAAAGCAACGACGTGGATGTAAAAAAATTGCTTAAGTGAAAAATGTAGTATTGCAGTCCCATTTTGCAAGCTGAAAAGTGGTTTGGTTAACACTTGCATAAAATCTGCACATTTATGTACTGCATGTTATTAAAAAATTCTATCACTAAATTATCATGAATCTTGCCAATTTCGGCTTACATGTATACTGCTGCTGGTGTAGATGCTGTAGATATGGAATTGATGGTTTACATTTAGTAGGTTACACCTTCGAACGATGGATGACAGTTGTGAAAATCACAAGGACATCTTGATAGTTTAATCGTTCAAATGATGGGCACCTGGTCCTGCTATTACATTTTCCCCCTTTCTCTGTCACAAAATAAGGTGGGTAGATTGTGGTGCGATGGCCACTGGAGGGCGGCTTACTTCGAGTTGTTACATCTGCTAATCCCTGCTAGCCATCTTCTAGCTCATTAATAAAATACCTTTCACAAAGGAAAGGTGCCTCTCAAGGATCTAGGCCACGATCATTGCCATTGGGAATCTGAGCTGCAGCGTCAACGTGCAGCTGAGACAGGACCTCAAGTCCCCGAGTCCCCCTTCTTCCCGGCTGCAAGGAATGCGCCACACCACCAGTTACAGGTAGGTCCCCTACCCTGCACACTCTGATGAGGCCGCTCTCCAGTGGTTTGCGCTACGCGAGCCTCTCTCTAAATTGTGGGCCTCTCGTGTGTATTCACATTCCATACAGTACTTCTGTGAGACAGCAACAACACGGCGACAACCAGAACAAGAACGAGAACAAGAACAAAACATCAAAAGCTTTCCTGGGTCTGATTGGTTAGCTCTTTGGAATAGGCGAAGAATAGACAGACTTTGTTTTCAGCAGGTCACCTCAAACACTGGCTACCAGAACACAGCACACATATGTAAGCTGTGAAGGACATCTAACAAAAGCCTCAAAAATAATACTGCTATAGAGGAGAACAAATGAAATAATGTAAAAGGGTCATAATGATGGATGGAATGGCTTCCGATAACTGGAATTATGTCCTTCCTAGAATTTAAGAAAAATTACACCTAAACATGGAACACAATACATGGAGAAACCAAATGTGCCATATGGACCGTATAAATACACTGGTGTAGATTGAGTCCAACACTTTTTTAAAGCAAGGTACAATAGAAACACTAATAATAGCACAGGCATGCCAGAAAGACAACCAAACATGGAAACTGGTATGAAAACACTTTTTTAAAAAAGTAATCTCTATGCCCAACACGGGGCTCAAACGCACGACCCTGAGATCTAAGAGTCGCGTGCTCTACTGACTGCGCCAGCCAGGCGCTTTTGGAAACACCTTTTAAGAGCCCATTTCAACCTAGTAGTCAAATGTAGCCATTTTATCCAAAAAGATGTGTTTAGTTTTGACATCTAATAAAGATATTTCACATTTATTTTTATGTGTTAAGTGAACTCTGGAGGCAGCTAAAGCTTCCTTCTAGTCCAGGAAGTCGAGGACTTCACCAAGGTGAGCCTCACGGTTTAGAGTTAGAACATCACCTAACCGTGTTTGCTACGAGAAAACATTCAAGTTCAGAGTCATGGCTCTTCAGGCGAAATCACGGTCTTGGGACGGATCCCTCCTTCCCAAATTGGCAACTTCAAAAAAAAGTGCTGCATATATGCACAAACGCAGTCTCTTTCAAAAACTACCCACTAACAGTTGGAAAGAAGCTCTTTTTTCACTTCTCCACAAAAAGATCAAAAGACTGACGTTCAGATGGCTTTTGTTTTATGTAACTATGGTTTTGCCTATCCCACCTCAGATCCCAGTAAAACGAATATTGGAAAAAATCTGTTCTATCTTAACTCTTTTGACGGGCTACTTACGAAGTGACTGAAAATGTTTTATTTTGAAAATAATCAAGTAGCCATACATCCATGAGGTGGGGTTTAATTCAGAAGAACAAAAATAAAATCAGTAACTTTGAATTCTCACAAAAATATCCAGGATTAACATTCTTTCCACATAAGGTCTCAAGGTTATTTTTTGGCAAGGATATTCTATGAAGACAGAATTAGCATGTGGGTGAACAGAAAGGATTAACTATTCTGATGCACTGATACCATTTAGTCTTCTTGTATTTTCAAGTATTCCTTTCATGTGTTTGAAGAAAAAAATAATTTAAGATTATCATTCAGCAGGAACAAGAAATGTGATCCAAACAGCCTATTTCTTCTGCCAGGCAAAAAAAAAAAGTAATATTAGCAAAATCTATTCATTCCCATTGTAGGACTTCTACTTTATACTATTATATTTAAATCCATTCACAGAGTTCATGGGTTAAAAGAGCACCCACTTGGTAGTTATAGTAGTCTATCTAAAGCCAGAAATTGTAATTATTCTTGCTTTCAACTTTCATAGAATTTGTAACTTAGAGCTTTGGCCATCAAGGCTACTTACGATAACTGTAAATGTTTACAAGTCATTTGGTATTCTGATGGACATTTATTCTGAACCCTAGACATAAGAGAGGGGTTTAGTTTGTTGCATATTGAGTATCCTGAGATGACAACTTTTCGTAGTTGTTTCTTCATGCTTTCTTTTTTAGCTGTAACCACTGTCAATATGCTTGTAGGACAATAACATAGGCAGTTCAAGATTCGGATTCTGAAAAATTTAAAACATAGAGTTAAAAGGTTTATTTTAACAATCGCGCCATCTGTTTAGCATTTTCAAAAATAAATCAAGTAGTAAATTTTGTTATGAGAGAAAAGGGACTATCTTTGAGTGCCAAGTTTTATTCACATGCAGGGGGAGAAAAAAGAGCGACACAGTACCCGGGGTTTCATCATTGCTTCGTTTGCTGGCTGGCTAGATTCAGACTTGCTTTCTGCTTTTGGATTGCTCCAGGGCTCTCAGTCATTGTTACCAGTAGGAGCACCTAGCACAGGCAGTGCTTGGCTCAGCAAGGTCCCTCCCTCTAGCCTGGGAGCTGAAAATAGGGCCGTTTTACTGGTCTATCTCTGGCACCTAGCCCCGCGTCCACAGCACACACTCAGGCCGTGGTGAACTAATGCCCGGATTACGGGTTTTCAGGGTGTGTGAAGTTTGACAGAGGAGGTCCGAAGATGTATCTATTCAGTTTTGAAAGACTGTCGTAAGACTATTTTTCCTTTACTGAAAGAAACCAGTTTCTTCCCCATCGTGCTGAAGTTCATTTTCTTTTTTGGTAGATCACGTATCGATTCTTCTCTGTTCCCTGAACATTAGCCAATACTCTTCCGGGGACAGGGCGTGGGAGGCCAACTGATCGCAGAGTCTAAGTCAGGTATGTTGAGAGGTGTGAGCCTTAGCTCTTGGGAGGGGACCTAACTTTCACTCTCCACCCCAACCTCTTAAAACCCGACTATCGGGAGGCCTTCAGGGGCGTGCGATCTTCTTCCCACTTCGGTGCACCTTCCTGGCCATGATGGGACCAGAAGTCCTCTGCAATCCCGTCAGGTGGCGGGGTCACGGTGACCAACTCTAACCACCATCAGGTTGCCATTTGTACTGAGAACTTAGAAAAGGGGACACCTACAGTGGCTGAAGCTAATTGTCAGACTTTTTCCTTGGAGGAGAAATAATGCTACGTGAAGAGCTGTTCCTGGAGGACCTAACTACATTAAGAACACAATGATGGTTTTCAAAACAGAACACGTCCTCACTCTCTGCGCTAGGGGTTGTAGGACCAAGGGCCCTGGAGAAGCCACCAGCACAGGCAGTGTCCCCTAGCCAGCCCAGTCTCCCGAACTCGGATCGCGCTAAAGAAAGCAATCCAGGGGGATACAAAAGGAGCCGGAAGCAGTAGAGCTAAAGCGTACCATACAGCGTAGGGCAAGGCTATCTGGCACAAAAGTGTCAAAGGCTTTGAAAGCTACTGGGAAGCAGACTCGTTACTGAGGGAAGATCTAAGCAGGTGACGACTCGCTCAAAATGGGGAAGAAGATGAGGTTTGTTGGGGGCCAAGCGAGTCTGCGTCCGAAATAACAGTGCACGTGCAGACTGGGTAAACTCTAGGACACAGAAGCCCCAAAGCACGCACTCCGCTGGTTTCCTTTTTGTTCTTCATGGGGGGGTGGGGTGGGGGGGAGTGGATGGCTGACTAAGAAATGGGTCCACGAGGAGGACTCCTGAGGTCAGCTCCAAAGATGAGTCAGTCAGACAAGACGATCCTGACGATCATGGGTTTTTATGTGTGCAGGAGACAGCCCTGCCCTAAGCCGTATGGTGTTGTTTCCAAACTGATGAGCTTGGACACCTTATTCATGAATTACTCGAAATTCCTACGGGTGGAGGACAAAAGACCTCTAAAGGTCCGGGAGGACTGAGATCCCAGCAGGGAGTGGGAGGGAGGAGACACACAGAGGAGTCACCCTGATTTCCAGGACGCCTCCCATGCGCCACAGCAACTCCTCCCCACTTGGTTTTGAGGGTAAATGAGACGTTAGGCCATAACACGAATTTCCTCATTTTTGGAAAAACGAACTGCAAAGCGTTCTGTATAATTAGGCTAGCATCCCGCTGAATAGCTAGGAAAGATTTTCCCTCTACCTCTGAAAGTGGAAGCATCTAGCTTGAATAAAACTTGACATTCAAAAAAGTGATTAGGTTGGGTCATTAATTTGGGGGATCAGACACGTACGAGTACATTAAGTGTATAAATAAATACCTGCAAACACACAGACACGGCACATGGAGGTGCAAACACACTGAATTATTTTCACGTAATCCCCAAGAGAACATGCAAGGCTAAATCGACTTGATGTTATACAGATGCAATTTTGGAATATTTATTTTCAGGTTTCGGAACAATTTTTGAGAGTCAAGATTGTTAAGTCCTCATCGGTATCGATGAGCACTTTCACGTGACGGCACCACCACAAGTCACCCCTCAGAAATCTGATGTTTTTTATTATTACCCTCCAGCTCTGCAAAAGGCCTACGGTTTTATTTGGGGGCTTAACAAATTGAAAATACTGACTTGTTTCCCCATATTCCAAGGAATGCATCTTTATATTTTCGTAAAGAGTTAAGTATAAAGTTCACCACACCAACAGCAGAGAAAATTTAGAGTGATATTTTCATTGTTTTGTCTTTATAATGCTGTTAATCTGTTTCTTTAAAGCCAGCCCCGCTCGTTTACCACTAGGTACCTGTTACAATATATTAGATTCGTCTGAGAATGTTCGTAAAAGAAGAGGTCTGACTGAAGGTCTGGCGGATAATGAGTCAGATGCCCTTTTACAGCTCAGATTTGTCTGTAATAGTGAGGTAAAGATACTTAAAGCATTTGAAGACTGGTTAACCTACCTGGTGATAAAAACGCAGGAGAAAAAGAATTATTTCCTACAGACTACTCTTTTGGCCAAAATACAAAACGATTACGCTACAGCAGATGTGTAACATTTCAACGCATACACTTAAAGGCCTAAGGGAGCTTCCAACTGGAACTGAACTGTTTCCACGGCAGACGTATACAGATTAGTAGTAGGATATGGCAAACTGGGGGCTCGGAAATGACACTGGTAGTTATGCGGGTGATGAGGCAATATGGTTTGATTAGTAAACCTTACCATCCTTTTGGTGAACACCTCTGAGAGTTGGGCCGGTGCTGGGAGTATATCGAACAAAGAGAAATTTGTGCAAAACGGTCCTGTCTTCGTGAACACACTAGCTCTAGCACGCGCGGCTTCCACTGTGCGCACCAGGAATCAGTGGGGCTAGAGTTATGGTCCACGTGTTTGAAAATCACCTCCTCTCCAGTGTGACGGTTTGAGGAGGTGAACAAATGATTAAAGGAAAATGACAAAATACTCTTAAAGTATCAATAGAAGATAGAGAAATGAGCACGGAGAAGTAATTTTTTCATAGAGAGTCAGAAAATGGGGTCAAGCAAATGAGAATGCAGGCAAGTCGGTACATTAAGAAAGGAAATCACCTTATTCACTCCAAGAGAAACTGTGATTGCTGGAAGTTTGAGAAAGCATGAAGATAGTAGATGTTCCTGAGGAAGGGAGGCGTTTCGTTACCTTGTTCACAATTGCACAAAAGGGTGGAAAATTGCAGTAGAAAAAAGAGAAATGCAGAAACCAAAAAAAAAAAAAAAAAAAAAAAGTAAAAATTCTCTGAAATGTAAGACATTTAAAAAGAAACCTGGAGAATTCGAAGTCGAAATGACATGTTAGTTTTGAAGGCATTACTTTCTGAAGTAATAGTAGAGTTAGAGTTAGGAACAGTCTATTATATGTGCAAACTACGATTCCTCCGTATAACAATTTAAAGTTGTTTTGGGGGCGCCTGGGTGGCTTAGTCGGTTAAGTGTCCGACTTTCGCTTAGGTCATGGTCTCGCTGTTCGTGGGTTCGAGCCCCGCGTCGGCTCTGTGCTGACTGCCAGCTCAGAGCCCGGAGCCTGTTTTGCAGTCTGTGACTCCCTCTCTCTCTGACCCTCCCCTGCTCACGTTCTCTCTCTCTCTCTCGCTCTCTCCTAGAAATAAATAAAAAAAAATAAATAAATAAAGTTGTTTTGTTAATGGGAAGATGGACTATTCTGAATCATTTTAAAATACGCTTCTCGTTAAAATGTGGCTTATTTCTGATCATTAGCTCACTGACCTCCGTTTTTCGGAATCCACTGGTCAGAGAGCTGTGTCCAGCTGCACAGGTACAATATGAAGGGGCTGACCGCTGTTGGGCTCGGGCGCATTACAGACCTAACAAAACTAACGCAGCGGGAACACATTTGGTGAAACTACACTTCGTTCCCGTTTACTGCTGGACCAATGTTTAACTTCTCTTATTCTAACATCGTCTTTCAAAAAGAGATTTTAATTTTAAGTAATCTCTGCACCCGCCTCAGGGCTCAAATTTACAACCCTGAGAAAAGGAGTCGCATATTCTACTGACTGAGCCAGCCAGGGGCCCCTCTTCTCATGTAATTTGATTGATTTTCTCTTTTATCTTACGGAGACCTCCTTAGCCCAGTAGGCTGAAGGGCTCTGAATTTCTCCTAATTTAAAATGCCCAGAAAAAGTAAAAATCGATACCTGAAAGTTAAATCAGAAAACCTAACACGTTATATTGCTTTTCCTTCTTGTTCTCTGCCTGGAGTTATAAGCTAATTCACAGCCTTGGTTTTGGCATTGCCCAAGCAAAACCAAAGATGAGTGGCCAGCCCTGGCGGTAAGCTGCGTAATTCTGCTGATAATCAAGATGACCCGTATTAACTACTTAGTGACTAATGAAAGTAGGTCTAAAAAAAGAAACCAGCTAAAGTATCATATGCATCTACCAGCATCTAATCAACAATTAAACTCTTAAAGGCAAATACTTTGACTTGTTCATATATGTCTGAACATAGCTCTATTTTTTTCCTGTTCGTATTTTACCTGAAATAAAGTTGGTGACATGTTGGCAACATGCAAATTCCCAATGGAGAAGGCTAGAGAAATAAATATATCGTTTCTGAGGAGAAAAACTTTAAACTGTCCTGTCTTCCATTTTGTGGGCAAAAGTCCCGTAACAGGAGTCACATGACACCGAGTCCCCGCCCCCAAGTTTAATATGCAAGCCTATTTATTTATTTACTTATTTAAGATGGCAACTCTAAGCACAGTTCGGTGCACTCAAAACCTTATATCCAACCGTCAGAGATACAAGTGTTCCTATGGGGCAGAAATTTTGGGGGTTCATAGATTAGGCCGCTTTATAAAGGAGAAAGGGGGTGTGAAAGTAGAGAAGGCAGGAGAGAGCATGGAAAGAGTGTCTAAAGCAATCAAAAACCGAGAGAGCCAGCGACTGGTGGGAGGTGGAAGGAAGGCAGAGAATGAGCTAGAAGAGTATGAAATTTCCACATTCTTCCGCAGTCACCTAGAGAGCTTTGACGCAGCTCAGGCTCGCCGAGCAGTACGTCAAAGAGGCCAATGCATAAAGGTCCATCTCAACAGCCGCAATGTTGGGATTCAACTTTTTTGCCTGATCCAGTCAACAGGGCTATTACCCTTAGAAGCCATGGTGGGGTGAGGCACTGGCAGCATGGCGACAGTAATCAGCCTTTGCCCCACTGTTATTAGAAGGATGACGTGTATTCTCCCAAATTTGCAAAGTGCTTTCTCTGGGAGGTTTGCTCAGACAGCTGATGTTCTTCCTTTTCCGGTCTTCTTCTGACAGAATTCCTTACATAATAGAATATTTCTTGTTGTTTGTGCAGACATCCCATGCTGGGCATGGCCGCACTGCTAGGGCCGTTCCCATTAGCTTACAGCGTTCCAGGGTCTAAGAGGCAAGGTCAGGCCCCCCTTGACAGTGGTGCTTTACATGGGGAAACTTTCATAAATGTATGGGGGAAAGTGCTCCACCAGAAGTGGGCAGTGGTAGCTACTACTACTTGGCCAGAAAGGTCGGGAGTCAGTTCGCTGATTATATGAGACAGCCCGACAATTGTGCTTAGAGGAGACACGAATTGTTGAAACGCCAGGAACCCTAAACTTGAAATTTCCTCTGAGGTGTTGTCTCGCTGTTCCGTTGTTCCGTGCCCAGGGGCCGTTTCGTCACATCCTGTCAGCAGCGTGGAGAGGTAGCTTTGTCAACTTACAGGCTAAAGAAAAGCCTTATGGCCCTTGACGATGGGAATTTGGGCGCAAAAATTTACCACGCTGCTGAAAAGATAGTTGAGGAGTAGGTAGCTGCAACTAAGTTTTGGGTTCAAGGACTGAGGGAACCATTTTTGAAGAAAGCAGGACTCTTTCCAACGCCAACAGCTTAGCTGCTTTTTCAGGGGCCAGGGACATTTTCACCACTCGCGGCTGAGTTCCCTCCTGAAAACAGCCACCAGGACCCCCAAGGAGCACGGCACTGGCTATGGGTCCAAAGGATCCACCATGCTTACTGGCTGAAGTCAGGGGGAATCTTCCAGCTCTAGGCAGGGGACACGCACATTACCCCATTGGGGAACCTGGCAGCTATGAGGCTGGCCCAGTGCAAAAGAATCTTTTGCTGCTCTTGGAAGCCAGTGCCTTAGCAAGGGACAGGAGGCGGAGCAGGAAGTCACCCAGGATGTCAGACTGCTGGTGATTAAGATGCTCTTTCTCCTTTATCTTAAAAGTGGCCTCTGTTTCTTTGACGTGGTCAAACAGGGCCTCACGTAAACAGATGTGACTTATCTGAATAGCCAGGGCTATGTTTCAGTGGGCCTTTATGCATTCATATGCACTACTTTGCTCTTGCGCTTTCTCACAAGGGGGGACAAAAAATAAAAGAGGCAGTGCTGCTGAGTGCCCGCGACTTTTTGTCTCATCTGCAACTCTCAAAATCCCATTGGGTCTGAAAAACCACTTGGCCTTTCAGACGCTGGATGGAAAGAGAGATGTTCATCAGTAGGCGGTTCAACACATGTTCTGGTTCAATGAGGGTAGGAACCAATGAATGAATGACTGAATGAATGAAGGGGGTTCTGGAAATTTTCCTCGCTGTTCTAGCACACACCAGCATGCCAAGCCGTTAGCACAGGCACTAGAGACCCTCGGATCGTGGACATGACCCCCGGCAAACAAACTGCATGCTTTGTATCACCCTTCTGTTTAATGGCCATTAATTTTTACAAAGGTCACCTCGAGCCTGTGTCTAGGTTTTTTTTTTTTGTTTTTTTTTTAAGAAAGGGTCTAAGGAAGAGGCTAGGGGTGAGAGGTTTCAAGGCTGTGATTTCTGAGGCTTTTGTATCCTCTTTGGAGCGTGAAGTTGGGGGTGAGCCATTAGTTAGCGGGGGCTCCACGGACCAACTAAGACAAACTCTCTAATATAACAAGGCACCAAACCATTTCTTATATGACGTTTTTTATCTGGCCTGATAGAAATGGCTGCTTGGGCCATTCTGGGAAAAATCTTTTGGGGCAACCTGTTTCACCCCTGTTCCACGGATATTAAGCACACTCTGACAAGTCGATGCTTCTACTGGGAGGGTTAAAGAGTGGACTGGGCTAATGATCCTGTGTCCAGGGCCGCCCACATGGTACACAGGGGCCGGGAGTTCAGGCCGGCTCTGACCACCTAACTGTACAGTGATTGGCTCTGTATACAGAGAACTGACGTGGCTTAGGCCACAGAGAGTCCACTGCTTCTGACTGGGGCTGATACCGACTTGTGGATCATGAAGGTCGTCTTTAACGTGTCTCATCGCTGAAGATTTTCTCACTATAATCATTTTAGTTCTTACATCTACATGATGCCAGCCACTGCGTTCTATCAGATCAGCAGGCTGAAACCCAAATCGGACAAACCAGTTTTGTGGCTCAACTGGTTGGCAAATTTGATCAAGTAGGTCAGGCAGATATATCTTCGACTGTTTCCTGGCAATATTGCACTGGAGGGGCTGGGAGATCGAGCTGGTGTCAATAATGAGAGACACAGGGTTTTTGTTTGGCAAAATGAATTAGTGCTGGTGGTCAAAATGTGCCAGTTTTATTTTCCAGGCTAATCTACCCCTTTCATGTTATAGGCTTTTTTAGAAATGTTCAAAAGTTATCAGACAATGCAGGGCCAAGCAATAAGGCTGGCAGAGGGTACTAACTTCTCACTCTCACAAGAAATGTACAATTTAGGCAGCAAACCCAAAAACACACTCAAAAAATCATCTGAATTTTTACAAGTGTGTTTGGGACAGGAAGGATGCAGAAATCGCATCCAGGGAATTCTATTTGGTTCAAGTATACTGCTAGACAGACAGGGCTAGAAGCGACACAGAGATTAAGCAGCACTATAATTAAAGGAAGGGGAAAGATCTGAAAGAAGGAAATTGGGGTCATCAACTGAAAAACAAAAACAAAAACAAAAAAACCCCAACTCTGCAAACGACCCACAGGGAAATTTCTAAGGTTAAAGCTGGAATGTTGGTGTGGAAATTCCTGGTGTGATAATTCTAGCCTAAAAAAAAAACAAAACAAAACAAAAAAAAAAAACAACAACCAATTTTTCCATTTAAAATTCCATATGGAGCATGTGAGATACTCCATATGGATGGCTAAAGGTCACATAGAACACTATTAAGGAGTCTACTTACCACCTGCATTGGGTAACGGAGTATTTACTATACTTTTTATGCAGAAGAGGAAATTAAGTGATGAACCTGCAAGGAGGGGTTTAACACGCTGTAACTAAAGCAGTTCTCTACAGAAGGTTTGTAGTTCACGGCCAATATCGAAGCCCCTTCCAAAACTCAAGTTATAACATGAACTTCGTTCTTACCCTGGCACTTCTTCTTCTTACATTCTTTAAGACTATCAGGAGAATCTCAGGGAAAAGGCTGATAAATATTAGAAGAATTATGGCCAACCACGTAGATACAGAGGATAGCATTTGGGCAAACACGAAATACATTCTCTGTTGTTTGAGAAAAGGCCTAGAGTGGAAAGAAAACACAAAATGGAAAAAGAAATCAGGTCTTGTCGTTAAAACAGAGGTGTAATCGAAACTACCTTTCGTAGTTAAAGGGACCCTTCTAATTACACATATTAATAAAAATAATTTTCTTTAAGAGTATCCCCAAAAGTGCCCAACAGATTTCATTTGCTAAATGTTTGGGGGGAAAGGGATAACTAAAGGAGAGAAACGACAACGAAATGCATCTGACCTGGAAACAATGAAGGAGTCACCTGTAAAACTGCCAAGTGGAGAGGATGTATTTGCAGTAGAAAATACTTAAAGATACTCAAGAGGAATGGTTAATTTTTATGCTAAAAAGGATTTTACTTCCTCGGCTATCTTGTTCATAGAATGGACTGTGCTCTATATTCGAAAATGTAATAGACATCTTTAACCCCCTTTCCCCCAACTCTACGTAAATATAAAAGAGACTGTTGAGCTTGGCTCTCTACCGTTCTTATCCCCGAACACAGACTGAGTATCCGGGGCAGGCCAACCGGGCTGCACAGAAGAATACGGTTAATGGGACACGAAGCACGGAGAGCCTCGCCAGACGAGGTGCGGTCTGAACCAGGGGAGAAGAAGGGCAAAGTGGCCGCCCAGCACTGGGGTGCACTACACACTCTCCCCGGATTAAGAGCTCTAGGCAGATAACTGCTGGTCTCATTTATTAGATTATGCAAAGGGCTCACTGAAGATAAACTCGTTTCTCATTAAAAAAAAAAAAATCGATGTCTGTGCCCTCTTACATAACAGAATAAAATCAAGCGTGTGGCTGGCTCTAGGCCTGTGGGGACCAGAGTGTGGCAGAGGAAGTGAGCAGAACAGTGAAGTGGAGCTATTCAGGAGGTCTGGGTTCAGTTTTGTAGGGTCCCTACCATCCAGAAGAGAATCCTGCAGGGCTCTCGCTCTAATTACGAAGGGCACCCTCACTCGTTTCCTAGGCAGTTAATGGACCCTAACATGCGTCCAGCAGACAAGTGCCAGCGAGCCCCAGAGCATTCCACACAGGACCCACAATACTCGGTGATGCACAGCTCTAGAGTTTTCTTTACCTCGAGGATACCTATGGAGCTTTACAGGGGAGCAGGAAAAAGCAAAAGGTAGTATTCTTGGATTGGGTTTGGGGCTCAGAAATCCTCGTTCTCACTGCCAATCCCCAAAGAGGGGTGTGTCACGAGGCCTCAGGGTTGAGTGTGTCCAGAGGCCTCAGGGTTGAGTGTGTCCAGAGATAGTAGCTGGAGCCCGCTGAAGTCTCTCACAGTTTCTGGTCCTATCTCACTGGCTGCTTTATAATATAAATTTTATACTCAGGCAGTGGCTCAACTCAGCACTACTTAAGTACAGCACTACGAGCAACGAAATAAAAACACATTTATTAAGATTACATTTTTAGGAAGTAGCTCTAATGAGTGGAAAACAGGTGTGACAATGTCTTAATCAACTGAAGGATTTCTTTTTTTTTTAAATTTTAAATTTTTTTTTTTTTTAATTTCTGAGAGAGAGAGAAAAGACAGCGTGAGCAGGGGAGGGTCAGAGAGAGAGGGAGACACAGAATCTGAAGCAGGCTCCAGGCTCTGAGCTAGCTGTCAGCACAAAGCCCGACACGGGACTTGAATCCACGAACTGTGAGATCATGACCTGAGCCGAAGTCGGTTGCTTAACCGACTGAGCCACACAGGAGCCCCTGAAGGATTTATTTTCATCAATAAGGAATGGTCAGTGGTCAGTTAGAAACTGATTTGCCAGAAACAACTTAGTCTTATGGAAACATTGCATTAGTTTAGAAGCTGACTGTCTTCACAGATAGAATTATGGTGCTCTGGGTAGGGTTATAATCGTGTATTACATTTGACTAGCCAACTTTGATTAATTTGCGGATTAGTAAAGGAGACAGGGACTTCTGTCAGCTTCCCTGCTTCAAAAATCACCTCTTGGAGGCGCCTAATATATGTCACGATCACACNCAGAGAGAGAGGGAGACACAGACTCTGAAATAGGCTCCAGGCTCCGAGCTGGCAGTCAGCACAGAGCCCGACGCGGGGCTCGAACCCACGAACCGCGAGATCATGACCTAAGCGAAAGTCGGACACTTAACCGACTAAGCCACCCAGGTGCCCCACATATAGACTGCTTTCCAGAAAAGTCCTAGTAATTTATATTTCTAGTAGCAATACTGAGAGTGCCTCACTGCACTTTTATCTTAAGGACAATCAGAGCTGGGACTAAGCGTTTATCGATATACAAAATGTTTGTTGCCATATTACTTATATCAGACAAAAACTGTAAACAATCTATCTCATAGTAATGGTTAAAGACATATTCTTAAAATTGAAATTATATAGCCATTAAGATTATTATTATTATTTTTAATATATTTATTTCTAGGAGAGAGAGAGAGACAGCGTGAGCAGGGGAGGGTCAGAGAGAGAGGGAGACACAGACTCTGAAATAGGCTCCAGGATCTGAGCTGGCAGTCAGCACAGAGCCCGACGCGGGGCTCGAACCCACGAACCGCGAGATCGTGACCTAAGTGAAAGTCGGACGCTTAACCGACTAAGCCACCCAGGCGCCCCTCACTAGATTCTAATCTTTCTGTTTCCCAGAGTGGTTCACACAAAGCGGACTCCGAATAAACATCTAGTGAACCAAGATGAACTCCGTGAACTCGAAAGCCACACCGTTGAGTCTGCCTTTACCTCCCGCCAACAGCGAGATGGTGGGGCTAAGGCACGACACTCTGGATACTGAGTGGCCTATGTTCCACACCCTGAGCACACCTGTAGTGACAAGATTGACAGTAACAGACCAGAAAGAGACAAGAGAGTCCAAACGGGTAATAACGTATCTACTGGCCAGTGTGTCATGTAGCAACGTCACGGGCTGCGTGTTTCCACTGTAAATCACATGGAAGGTCACTGCTAGAACTTGCAGTTTCACGTCACAGAGAGATGTTCACACCTTCAAGTTGAAACGTTTGGACCGGGGCTACTAGAAGGGAGGACTTTTGAGTAACTCGTGTAGTCTGCTTACTTGCATTTGAAATCGTACCCATTAATACTGAACACCTGTCACCTTAATTGGCGCTTCAAAAGCGTTAATTAATGTTTGCATGGACAACGTACATAGACACATAACTACTTTGTTATTTCTATAATACTCACACGTGCACAGCTGCTTACCAAATAATTCCTCCCCAGAAGAATGAGAAAAATACATAAAAGGCTAAAGAACCCCAAATCACAAAGTGATTTATCCACGTCCAGAAACGGGTATCCAAGGCGAGCTGAAAAGACACAACACAAGAGATTTCGTGAAGTGTACAGGCTGCAGCAGGAGGTAAGTCCGCTACGCAATTCAAGAACTTGAACACCACAGGCTACCCATGGGAGGATCTAGTGTGGGCCAGGCGAGCGGAAGAGAGGGAAACTAAATGAAGAATGGAACCCAGACCTTCTGAAGAGCTAGGGCAAGGAAGGGCTAAGTTCTGTCCCAAGGCCCTGAGACCCTACAGCGCAGGAGTGGAGCTGGGGTCGAGCAAGTAGCTGGTGGGTGTGGGGCTGGAGATGCCTCATTACTGAAAGAGAGGCAGGCAGCGAGGTCACGGGAGTATCCAGGAGGCTGGAGCCCCACATCCCCTGGGAGTGGCGGCCAGAAGGCTGACGGCAAACGGATGAGGCCGAGCTGGCCATAGGAGAAGGATACAGAAAAGCAGTAGGAGTCAGAAGGGTCAGGTAGGAAGGGGAGACAGACTACAGGGGGGAGTCTCGATAGCTCAAACACAACCGGTGGGGGTTATTACATCCAAAGGGAACCAGGTCTACACACCCGGGGCCCTGTAAGAGCGAACCATGGGCCTGACCAGGGAGTGTGCCTTTCAATTGCGAAAGTCTTACCTATTCCATTAAATGAATAACATTTTCAGTTGCCTTAGATTTTAATCCCTGCATGTTTCTGCCAGGGCTGATTGTTTCTTCAGATTGTGGCGCCTGGGATTTTCAAATGCAATCTAAAAATGAACACTCTGGTCTGTTCTGCTTATTGAAACTTTCTGGGCCACACGGACTGACATCTGGGACATTTAATTTTTTAAAGAGATGGTAGGATATCTGTTTTGTTACTTGCTGTGACACCCTGGTCCTCAGCTCTGTTATGGTCTCTCCTTCATAGGCAGGATGGAATAACCCTGTTAATGTAGACCAGTCTTGAATTCCCACCTTTGGGCTGCTAGGAAAAAGGTCACAATAATGCCCATCCAAAGATGAGAGAGTGAGTGTCTTTTGAGGGACACATGAAAGATGCCACAGGAAGGCCAACTTTAACTACGAAGGGCACTTGCCCAAGAATACCAGCTAGTAAGTGGCTAAACTGAGATCAAATTGTAACAGTTTCTTTTGCAGCCCTAAAAGATTACTGAAATAGTAGATGAAAATGCAAGCGTAGGTTAGTTCTGTTTGGTATGGGAAATGAATCAGGAATAAAAACTTCACAGGGGAAATGATTAGAGGATCTCTGTCAAGTATGCTAGAATTCTAGTTTGGACCATTGGGCATACTGGAATTCATTGAAAGGTGCTCATTCTCGGACCCCAGGTGAGGTGTTTATTACTGGAAGGGTCATCAGAAGAATTTGATTATGGTTTCAAGGATAAGAGAGTCCCAAGTCAGAAGTGTCAAGGGTAGAATTCGGCGGAGCTATCCGAGTATACCATATGGCCGCCTGTCAATGCCAAGGACTCCTGTGTGCTACCTGCTGTACATTCTTAGACATTTCATCGCTACGATGCATGCACTTCAGTGATAAACACATTCTATAAAATTTCACCACTACTATGCTCTTCGGCACCCATTTCTTGCTCATGGACACCTATTCAATTGTCTTAAAGACCCAAATTCCTTTGAGGCCTGGTGTTTGTAAACAGATACATAATTTTAAAAACGATTCAAGTCTTTAACATGAAAACACACACACACACACTCACAGCCTGTTTATATACTACTTATAATGTCTTGAAGACAGAAGAAACAGATTTTCAACATAACTATGGTGCATGAATTTTTAAAAAATTAAATGAAACGCATAACATACTGGAAAAATGGTTCACGAATAGTCTACAAATGTCTAAACATCTAATATCATACATGTTTTAGTAACGATTCATATTTGAATGAACAACCTGTGATAAAAATAAAGAGAAGGCAAAAGAGAGAGAACAGTGGGAGATCAGAAAGGACTACAAAAATGGTATTAAATGTATTTGAATAAATAAAAAATCTAACCTTCAGAGTTACAGTGAATACTAAGACCGTAAAAACAATGGTTCCGAAAGTCCAGTTTCCATATACCTGAAAAACATTTAACGGTTACATTCACCATAAATAAATACGCAAGCCTACGTAAGAAAATAAAAAAGCAACTTTAATCTTGGGTGCAACTGCTAAGGATTTTCATATACACTGTTTAGGCAACTATCTGATCAGGCCAAAACGTTGGATTTTATTGTGACCCTAAATTTCCTTGGACAGCTACAACACACTTGTGATTGACAGGGTTTATTTCCATTACTCCACGTAGTACCAAACGGGGAATAAACTGGCATAATAAAAGGCAGGGAAAAAGAAAAACCCACCCTATTCCACTAACAGTAATGTTGATCAAAACAAGGCATTTGGATGATTCGTGTTTCTGATACGGGCTTTCTCTAGAATACAGAACTAAAGCTCTCAAGTGAGGACGAGTTTGTGGACAAATGGAGTCACATCTTAAAAACAGACTCTAAGTTTTTGGCTGTAAATATTAGAATGGTCGGCGTGTGCAGAGTAAAGAAGAGCAAATACAAATCCTTAACTACAGCAGTGAATGACACATGTGCTTACCAAATGCTGTCAAGATCTGAACTCATAACATTAAAACAGAAAATGAAATGTAAAATGCTTTTAAAAAAACAACAAGAAAGTAGAAGCACAAAGAAAGGACTCGATCAAATCATACATGGTGTGGTGTCCTGTTTAATTGCCCATAGCAGTTCTTAACGCTTCCTATGAGGCGAGCAAACAGAAGGATGGGGACATTTGCAGTAGTTAATTTGGTCTTCACGCACTCAAAATGTGTGATGATGGGGACCCAGGCGGGGCCGAAGCTCTTTAAGCACCACCCAGAGTCTGCTGAGCAAATGAAACATGTCACCAGGACCGCGGGAGAGTGCCCACCTACTCTGCGGTGAACTCTTTTTAAGAAATAGTCAGCTCTTTGTACCTTATGTGCCCAAGAAAAATAAAATGAAATGTGAACATCATGGGATCAGCTGTAAAGCTCCGGGGACCTGAGAAATCACGGAACGTGACCCCTTCCTACCGGTGGGCGCAGCTGACTTGGAAGGCTGGAGGGAGCAGCCTACAGAGATTTAGGAAGGTACTCTCCTTGACAAGGGCTGCGTGTGCCTACTCTAAAGGCCAAGATCTCTATTTCCCCAGCAGTTGATTAATCATTTTTTTGGTGATTAATCATTCTCTTAAAGTCATCTCTATGTCCCACATGGGGCTCGAACTCATGAGCTCGAGAGCCCGAGTCCCATGCTCTACTGACTGAGTCAACCAGGTGCTCCCAGTGATTAATAACTTTAAGGGATGCATATTAAACTGACTTCTGGGAGTCCAAATTAGAAGGGTTATGACCAGGGGCGCCTGGGTGGCTTAGTCGGTTGAGCGTCCGACTTTCGCTTAGGTCATGATCTCACGGTTCGTGGGTTCGAGCCCCGCGTCGGGCTCTGTGCTGACAGCCAGCTCAGAGCCTGGAGCCTATTTCAGAGACTCCCTCTCTCTCTGACCCTCCCCTGCTCACGCTGTCTCTCTCTCTCTCCTAGAAATAAAAAAGAAAAAAAAAAAAAAAAGAAGGGTTCTGACCATATGTGGTACGTGATTTCAAAGTATCATTCCAATCCGTCGAGCCCGTTACTTCCGAAAACAGCTGTGGACTGTGCAGGTTGTGGACACGGTCACTGTACTCAGTACATTCATGCTGAACCTTAGCTTTGCTTCACGTTATAAAGAGTGAGTGACCATTAGGGGAAGCCCAGAAATAGAATGGACATAGTGAAAGCACATGGGAAGTCCTGGGCTTGACACTTACCGTGTGGCTGTGGGAAGGCCTCACCCCACTAGCACTTCTCTCCTAGGACACAGCCAGGGGACCATCACCCCGACGCAGATGCGGACCTATGTAGTCGCTTCCCAGGAAGGCACTGGTAGGATTAGTGTAGGCTTTCTGGAAAGCACTATGCTCCCATGTGGAAGGGAAGGAGGAAGGCAAAGGAATTCCCACTCTTTAACTATTGGGCAAATACTGCAAAGATATGGTGCCTACCCCCTTCAACTCAAAGCCTGAAAGGCCGCTCTCAACAAGAACTGAGCGGGGCCAGCCTTTGCTCCTGCTTTGCGAAGTCTTGGGGTCCTTGGTTGGCTCAGTTAGCAGACCATGGGGCTCTTGATCTTGAGGTCCTGAGTTCAAGCCCCACGTTGGGGGTAGAGTTTACTTAAGAAAACAACAGGAAAGGTACAAGGGTCCAAATTCTGAAGCACTAAAAACTGCTCAGCTATTAAAAATTACAGCCAAGGTAAGCTTCTAGAAGGTTTGCGCGTAAGCTTTGCAAAATGATTAGAGCTAGATTATATGTATGATAAATCCAGTGCCTATCGAAAACAGGTAAGCCATGCTAACAATTCGAAAACATGTTAATGAAATATTGTTTTTTACCTTTGCATTTTCTTCTAGGGATGACGTCTGAAAAAGAAAATAAGTCCCAAAGAAGAACACTGTCCCTTCAAATGCAGCCAGAAACGTCCAATATAAGAAGGGTCCCAACTGGAGCATGGCATTGCCAGAGATTTTCCTATTGACAAATGGGGAAAAGCACAGGTTAATGAATCCCTAGAGGCTGTCTCTTTAAGGCTACAGCAAAATGCCGGAAGTGCACACAGGCGTGACCCTGCTATAATGAAGGGCGCTGTCCCTCTCCTTGCAGGACCGGAGGGCCATACTGAGCCACAGCTCTAACTCCCTGCAATGGCCTCCTGACTAAGGCAGTGAGTCAACAGTCAAAGTGCCAAGTTAATATTATGGCCATTGACAACAGTAACATCGCAAAAAATAATTAGCTCCCATTTACCGAGTACTTCTTACATGTCAGTGAGGTGGGTTAAGAATTTTATATAAACTGCCCATTTTTAAGAAATGTTTATCTTTGAGAGAGAGAGAGAGAGACAGAGAGAGAGAGCGTGAGCACCAGTGGGGTTGGGGCAGAGAGGGGGCGAGACGGAATCCCAAGTTGGCTCTGCGCTATCAGCGTAAAGCCTGACCCAGGGCTTGGACTCACCAACCACGAGATCATGACCTGAGCTGAAGTCAGAGACTCAACCGAGCTACCCAAGTGCCCCTACATTGTCCATTTTTATCCACATAAAACCCACATGAGACAGAGATTTCTGTCGGTCTCATTCACAAATCATGAGCCTCAGAAAGATGTATCATAAAGATTCCCAAACTGTGGTGCACATTGGAATCACTTGGGGATCTTTAAAAACACTGGTGCCCACCTCCCACCCTCATTCTGATTTAATTGGCATGTGGTGCTAACCTAGGCATCAGGGTATTTTTAAAGCTACCCAGGTGACTAATGTAAGTTTTAGAAAGTACAGGTATGGTGGCCTGCCGGAGTCCACTCAGTGGTAGGGGGAGGTGCTGGTATGTAATCACAGACGGACTTGACTCCAAATCATATGTATATGCTCTCAACCAAGCTACCGTGGTTTTCCAACTACCGTTATTTCTTTTCATCGAGATTTCTTCTTGGGAATTTAAACTTTTGAGGTCTTGGTGGGTCCTTTATGTTTTTTCAAATGAGTCAAATGATTTTTTTTTTTTTTTGAGAGAGAGCGAGTGAGCGAGCATGAGTGGGAGAGGGGGAGAGAGAGAGAGACAGAATCTCAAGCAGGCTCTGGGTCCAGCGTGGAGCCTGACATAGACTCTATCCCACGATCCATGAGATCATGACCTGAGCTGAAATCAAGAGTGGGGCACTTAACCGACTGAGCCCCCCAGGCGCCCCAAGGCAAATAATGTCTCACGCTGTACAATCCTGCTTTGATAAACAGCAGGTGGATCAAAACTTTAACATCTGTTACAATAACACAATCTTCTTGGCACACGTCAGAACGTCAAATATGGCTACGGATTCTAATGAAGCAAGGCTGCCGAAAGAGGGTTTGTGCGTGGAATTCTTTTGGCTTCTATTTCAAATTGCTGTTAACATGTATAATAAGGTAGCCAATCTGTCACACAGCACACGTTGCAGACCCTACACAGCATGTCACCTGGATGTCCCGACCAAGCAACACCTATATACCGGAAACGCAACTGAGGCTTGGGCGCTTGGTGCTGCGCCCCGCAGCTCAGACCTGGGCACCTGCTGTGATGTGAGGTGGCGGAGGCGCTGCAGGTTGTAGAAGCGGCAAAGTGTGTGCCTCTTCCCTCTACAGCACACCTATGGTTTCCTGTTTAGGTTTCTCCTGAAAACATGAAAACAGCCACACGTGTCTTGTTTCGTGTCACAGCGTTTGGAAAGTGCCCCAAGTCACTACATCCCTGAAGGTGAAACCTGGGACACGTGACACAATGCCATCGGTCACATTAAGTGGTGCCACCGCAGAGAGTGCCGCACATGGCAAGCAGGGCCTCCTGGTTCCAAAGGAGGGATCGGAGCGATCTACGCGGACCAGTGATAGGCTGGGATGGGGGGCTCGTGACAGGAGGCGAGGGACAGGGTCGCGTTTTGTGCTGGGCACCAGGTCCGCACGGAGCCCATCCGTGCGGGTGTCAGCAAGCATGCCCTCTACAGAACACCGTTCACTAATTCCTGAGCTACATACCTGCAGTTCCCTAACGAAAACTTCACGGAAACCCTTAAAACAATGTGGACTCACTCGGCAGCTTTCTTCAGGTTTTCAACATTCCCCGTGCATGAAAGCGCGCAGCACGGCCCTGAAGCTGTGTGTGTGTGAGGGGAGGGTGTCAGAGTCAGAGTCATCGCCACCCGAAAACTTACGATGTGCCAGGCACTGTTTTAAGTTGTTTTACGTGCAATCGCTCATTTACTCCTCGCAAACAACGCGGCCGTTACCCATAGTTTACCCGAGATGAACCTGAGTGGCTCACACGCATTCAGGGGCAGCACTCACACCCAGGACATAGATCGTCTCCAAGGTTGAATGGTATGGTTTACGGAGCTGCGGACTCAGAAGAGAATTGTGTAAGCAAACCAGGTGGGCGGCCCTTCCTTCCTACTCGCAGAGGACAGGGAAACCCACGGTCCTGAGGGGCTGAGGTGGGTTTTAACTCTTATGTTCTACTTACATATACAGCCGGGGGTCAGAGGCCAGGGTGTCAATGTTGATGTGCTGTTCCAGGAGACTGTAGGCCAGGATGGGCAAGGATGTGAAGCAGATGTTGTACATTGTAAGGTAAGCAGCATCATACAGAGGCTGAAATGACAAACGACAGAAGAAAAAGAAATGTTTGTGTTTGGGGGTAAAAAAACAAACAAACAAGAAAAAACCCCACACAAGCTAAAACGAGACAGTATCCTTTCACATTGTTTTGTGATTACAGAGAAGTTTATAAAGAAGGTCACTCTGGTAACTACAGAAAAGAAACATATTGTGATGTATCATATTAATATGTCCTTCCTTTTCAAAGGATCTGATTCAGAATGTTTCCATAATATCGGCTCTACTTCCTTTTTGTTTCTTTAATGTTTATTTATTTTGTTTTTTTTTTTCTTAAATGTTTTTTATTTATTTCTGAAAGAGAGAGAGAGACGGCATGAGCGGGGTAGGGTCAGAGAGAGAGAGGGAGATACAGAATCTGAAGCAGGCTCCAGGCTCTGAGCTGGCTGTCAGCACAGAGCCTGACAAGGGGCTCAAACCCACAAACGGTGAGATCATGACCTGAGCCGAAGTCAGATGCTTAACCGACTGAGCCACCCAGGTGCCCCAAAAATGTTTATTTATTTTGAAGGAGAGAGGGAGAGACAGAGCGTGAGCAAGGGAGGGGCAGAGAGAGGGAGACAGAGAATGCAAAGCAGGCTCCAGGCTCTGAGCTGTCAGCACAGAGCCCGACGTGGGGCTCGAACTCATGAGTTGTGAGGGAGATCATCACCTGAGCAGAAGTCAGACACTTAACCGACTGACCCACCCAGGCGCCCCATCAGCTCTATCTCTAACAGAGATTTACTAATAGATTTTGAAAAGATTTTTCAGTGATCGTGATCAAAGACCAATTAAGTTTAAACCTGGAGCCCCTCAGGGAAACTAAGCACAGGCTGTGGCCAGCCTGTGTCACAGTGGTTTTGTTCTCATTAATATTTTACATGGTTTTATTAAAAAAAAAAATTCTTTGTAATATTTATTTATTTTTGAGAGAGAGAGAGCACGTGTGCGAGTGGGGGAGGAGCAGAGAGAGGGAGGAGGACAGAGGATCTGAAGTGGGCTCTGAGCCATCAGCACAGAGTGCGATGCAGGGCTCGAACTCACAAACCCCGAGATCATGACCTGAGCCGTAGTCAGATGCTTAACTGACTGAGCCACCTAGGTGCCCACTTTTACATGGTTTTAAATATCACTACCACCTTCTCCAGGCTATATTTATGACAGTGAACGTGGCCATTTACTATGGATTCAATAAATGTATTTGCAAAAACAAAGCTAAATAGGAGTACACAGGCAGGTCTTCCCCAGGCTCCAGACCAAAATTTCCAACTTTCTGCTGCCTGGCCATAGGCACCTGCAACCCAAATGGCGAAAACCAAACTCATTAACTCTCCCCTTAACCCTGCTTTCTCCTATGTTCTCTACCTCAGTGAGTAGCCCCCATAATGCCTACAGCCCTAGTATCCACCTTGGTGCCTGGCACCACCATTTTGAAATTGGTGATTCTACCTCCGGAGCCATTTCTTCTAGATCTCCTATTCTTCCTGAGCCCTCAGTGTAGGGAACCTCACACTCACCCTCTAGGTGATCTCATTAGCCCTGTGGTCTTAATACCATCCATCACTGAACATTCCCAAATATTTATCTTTGGCCCAGACAAGTCCCCATGTACCCGGTTGCCCACTTGATAGCTCTTAGAAATAAATTTTCAACTCATGTCCAGAACTGAACTCCTGACTTGCCCTGACCTCAAACCTGCTCCTCTTGAAGTCTCCCCCATGTCAGGCAGAATCTTGGATTCATCCTTGACTCTTTTCTTTTTCACAGCCCACATTGAATCCACTAAGAAGTGTGTACTGGCTGTACCTTTAAATATATTCAGGTACCACCCTGCAACCTTCCTAAAAGGCTTCGTGCTTTGCCCCTTGACCTACTGTCTATTCTCAGCACAAAGGCCTGAGTAGTTTTATTAGAAAATAAGACAAATCAAATCACTGTTTTGTTCAGACTCACCAATGGATTCCTTTATCTCTGAAAGTTAAAAAAAAAAAAGGGTTCCTGCGAAGGGGTGGCTATACAGCCCCCCTGGATCTGGCTTCACCTTGTACTTCCCCCAGTCCTTGCTCCACCAACTATGCCCTCATCCCTCAGCCCCAACATGCCGGGCACGCTCCTGGCTTAGGGTTGATCAGTTGCCCCAGCCTGGAACACCCGTCCTTGAGACAGCCCCCCGGATGACTCGCTCACTCACCAAGATCAGTTCACATGTCACCTCAGAGAGACCGATCTGGATTCAACTTGCCATCCTCTTTCTCCCGTTTTTTTTTTTTATTTTCCTACAGCACTCATCGCCTTCTATCTTATGTTAGTAATTTATTACTTGTACTGTCTGTCTTCACACTAGAGTTTAAGCTCTACGTGGGCAAGATTTTTATTTACGTTCTTGTCAGCTATCGCCTGAGAAAAGCCAGGCAGCGTCTGGCACTCAGCGCCTGGCACCCGGCATTCTCGCGCTCGCAAGCTAGGCGCCGGTGTTCTCCTGTGGAACGTGAATAATTTCATAGTTCACAGGGCAGCAACATCAGACAAGGCTATTCTGTAACCACGATGGATCACGACAGGGACATGGCCTCTCCACAGTCACACTGAGCACAGAACCTGAATACTGTCCAAACCACAAACTTAACCAGTGCCAGTGTTAGCCTTCTAGTCTTCAATCCTCCTGGGTAAGATTGACTGAGATGCTTAGTCCTAAAATTACCCCCACTTAGTGACAGCACCCAATCTAGAGCAAGCCTCCCCACCCACACCTTTCCCCAACGACCCAATTCAAACCCAAACCTTTTTAAAAAATAATTTTTTTTAAGGATTTTATTTTTAAGTAATCTCTGCAACCAGCGTGGGGCTCGAACTCACGACCTCAAGGTCGAGAGTTGCATGTTCTACTGAGCCAGCCGGGTGCCCCCACCCCAAACTTCTAAGCCTTTTCTAACACTCTCTTCCTGCGAGGCCCCGCCGTTCCTCATGGTGTGCACTCCTCCTTCTGCACGGACTAATAAACCAATTATGACCGACAGGGATGGTCCTGGTGGTCTGTGGCTGGCGGCCTTGACAATGTTGAACTTCTAGAACAGAACTTGGCATACAGAAAACATTCAATAAATATTAAATGAACGAATGAGTAGAGACTGGGAGTTATAACACCTATGTACAGGATCGATCGGACACTGTGAATCTTTTTGTTGTTTTTAATGGAAAGAAAATTAAGGTATTCTATGAGCCTCGTTTTGATTAACACACTGAGCTCAATGTTTCTACAAAGTACTAACTGTGGTCATACGATCATTATATGTGGCCCGAATAAATGAGCCCCTATATTCATATGTATTTTCCCCCATATAAATGTCTTGTGATTAATCAAATGCAACGTTCTCAGCGACGTTCAAAGCACGGCTCCTATACGGAACGTGGAGGTACTGCCCACATACGAAGCTTTCAGCATAGCTTAAAATACCTCCAAGTAGGTGTTTCATTCCTTTTAATTCTCAAGGCACACAATACCATGTGTTCACTGGAAATCACTCCATTTGCACTAACAAGAAAATGAAAATCAACAATAACAAACAAACAAACAGGAAGATTGCCTGGTGTGTAATTTGGTCTTGAAATTCATCCAAACAAAAGAAGCCTCAATCTCTGTCTGCTCCACTCTTCAGGAGATAGGATGGTCGTCAAAACAAACAACAGGTTCAGATGATAATAGTTTCTTATTAAACCCAGTACAGATGTTTTTGTTTCACAAAGAAAAAAGACCAGTACTATCTTAGCTTGGCTAAAGAAAGAGTTGCTTTTTGGGGCGCCTGGGTGGCTCGGCTGGTTAGGCGTCAGACTTTGGCTCAGGTCATGATCTCGCGGTTCATGAATTCAAGCCCCGCGTCCAGCTCTCTGACGTCAGTGCAGAGCCTGCTTGGGCTTCTCTCCCCCCACCCTCCGCCCCTCCTTTGCTTTCATGCACATGCTTTCTCTCTCTCTCCCTCTCTCAAAAATAAGTAAACATTAAAAAAAAATAAAAGAAAGTTGCTTTTTGCTTCAAGAATCTGAATCCTGGTCCCATTTCTACATTCTCTGTACCTTGCTCTCCAAGTTCTAGGGTTGTAGAAAACATGTGATGCAAACTTGACTTGAAAAAGATGGAGTAGCTGTAGGCCCTCCAAACAAATGTACAATAGGGTGCCTGCACAGCTCAGCTGGTTAAGCTTCCGCCTCTTGCTATTGGCTCAGGTCATGATCTCACAGTGTGTGAGTTCAAGCCCTGCCTTGGGCTCTGTGCTGTCAGTGCAGAGCCAGCCTTGGACCCTCTGTCCACTCCCACCCCCCTTACTCCGCCTCCCCTGCTAGTTCTCTTCCTCTCAAAATAAATAAATAAACTTAAAGAAAAAACATCTTTGCAATAATGGTTGCTACATCCAGCACTAGCACAAGGTCAAAGTAAAAAATAAAGATACTGCACACATGCCACCACCTTAGAGAGATCTTTTGACCCGACCCACTTTTTCTCTAAAATGTCTGATAGCTCCCTCCCTCCTCTCCTTCAGATCTCTACCCAAATGTCACCTCAGCGAGAACTTTCCAGCGATCTTCTCTAAAACAGCAGACTTCTGCATTCATACTCTACCCACTCATAATGCTTTACTTTTTCCTTCGGAGTCTTTATCAGTACCCGACCTATCAGTACCGGGATGGCCCTAGTCTCCCCTAACACTATACTGCAAGGGCCACTGGAGTAAGACTTTGTTTTGATCACTGTCATGTCCCCAGCGCTCAGCCTGGCACATGGTAGGCACTCAGGAGATACTCAAGTGAGCGAACCTAGCATCTGAGCAACTGAGGAAGCCAAACACCCACTCCCACGGAAAGCTAAACAGCTAAGGTAACCTAAGCAGGCCGCACACAGAGCAGGGTCTGAATCTCAGCTGGCTTCAGAAGGCATAGGTCCTTTCTTCCTGTAACCTGTCCGTGAGCTAACAAAGGATAGCACAGCAACACACTTTAATGCTGAAAAATTAAAAACAATACAAACAGCACTTGAACCAGAGTTAGCCAATCTCCCTTTAGCACTTTGCTACAAAATCTGACATGTCTTTAACACTTGCATTCCTCCAAGGAAGTGGGGAATTAGAAACGTTTGGTCGGTAGCAATCTGAAAGTTCAGACAAAGCAGTTTCATCAGAATTTCGAAAACTGTAACTGATACTGTTAGGTTTGGACACAAGAAGGCTGACGGCACTTCCTGCAGTTGGTAGATGATTAATGCAGAAAGCAACCTGCTCGACTGGCAGCACGAGGTTGATGCCATGGCACTGATGCGAGAGATAGGACATCTGAAAAGGAGGCACGTTCTAGGGAAAGAGAGCAGTCACTTCCTATTCAGAAGAATACGTTGTTTTAAAAACACTGCCATGGCGCCTGGGTGGCTCGGCTGGTTGAGCATCCGACTTCGGCGCAGATCATGGTGTATGAGTTCAAGTCCCGTGCTGGGCTCTGTGGTGACGACTCAGAGCCTGGAGCCCGCTTCGGCTTCTGTGTCTTCCCCTCTCTCTGCCCCTCCCCCGCTCACACACGCATGCTCTCTCTCAAAAATAAAATAAGCATTAAAAAAATTAAAAATACTGCCAAGAAAGTTTAAAAAATTGCTTCCTACCAGGAAGAATGCGGCATGCCTGGAAATTTAGAAACTTGGTCTCTAACCCGTGGTGATGTTATGAGCAGCTCAACGTGGCGAAATCACAGAACTGCCTATAGGTTAACTACAGAATTTCTCAGTCACTAAGCATTACAGCTCCTGTGTTTGGCTCTACTTCCATGAGAAGCAACACAAAATCCATTTCAGTTGTTAAAACTACAAATGTGTGTGCCCGTCCCACCACTTACGGATCAAAATAACACAGAGCACATTCTTTATGTACTAACAGGCGCTCAGAAAGCAATAAGGGGACAAAATGTAGAGGGGCTCAAGCAATCCAAGATTTTATCCAGGGATCACAGCTTCTTGGCCTGTCTGAGGATCATTTTTCTAGAAAATAAATCTGAGAAACTGCAGCGGTGTGAGGTTTTATTTGGTGAAATATTAAATTATACTATTTAGGATTATTGGAAAACATGGTTTATACTGATTAAAAGAAATACTCTTGGGGCGCCTGGCTGACTCAGTGAGAAGAGCACGTAACTCCTCATCTTGGGGTTGTGAGTTTGAGCCCCACATGGGGTGTAGAGATTACTTACAAAAAAAAAATCTTCAAAAAAAAAAAAAAAGAATAAAAGACAAACTCTTAAGGTTATCTCAACTCCAACAGGATGTACCAAATCACTTTCAAAAAAAAGTTAACAATAAGAACCTTACTAAAGCAAAGACATAAACATTTGCTATTGTCAAAAACCAGGCCAAGAAGATCAACTGTTGAATCAAAATATCAAAAAAATTGGGGCGCCCGGGTGGCTCAGTTAAGTGTGCGACTTCGGCTCAGGTCATGATCTCATGGTTCCTGGGTTTGAGCCCCATGTCAGGCTCCGTGCTGACAGCTCAGAGCCTGGAGCCTGCTTCCGATTCTGTATCTCCCTCTCTCTCTGCTCTCCCCCCCTCGCCAAGTAAATAAACATTAAAAAATTAAAAAAAAAAAAACATACATTTTACTTTGAACCTCCCTCTCTACAGTCCAATATATAAAAAGGTAATTTATTAACAGCCAATGTCAACTACATTATAACAATTAGGGAAACAAACCTGTTGTGAGAATCCACAGAAGAACTGGTACAAAAATTGTGGCAAAATGAAACAAAGGTTCTGGAAAGAAATGGAAAAAAGGGTTAATGTTTTCATTTCATGAACTTTCTAAACTGTTTAGAGTTTTAAGCAAACAAATCAAAGACAGTTTAATTTACAATAATACCAACTTTAGCCTTATGAAGCAGAAAGAGGATCTCACTTTAGGAGAACCTCTTGCTGTTCTTCCTTGAGGGAAGAAATAAGCTCATACGATAAAACCACCCAATGATACTACCCCCTAAATGTGAACTTGATTTGCAAAATCATCAGCAGGTATGACCTGAGCCTACATAAGTGTACACATAAAGTCAGTTAATATTAATAAACAGCCAGGATATCCTTACAGTGGATATTAACACTAAGAATATTCTTGCAGTGCATATTGACACTAATGGTATCAACTAAGGCTTTATTACCTTTATTAATGCCTCAAACAATCAACGTATTATTACCAATCACCGATTATGTGCAAATATAATATTGCGGACGGTACGAAAAATGGAACAAAACTTCTTACTCCTAAGGGACGTATCATTTCGTTGGGAGAATACTAAAAATAAACAGGCAGGGTGCCTGGGTGGCTCAGTTGGTTAAGCGTCCGACTTCAGCTCAGGTCATGATCTCACGGTTCGTGGGTTCGAGCCCTGCGTCGGGCTCTGTGCTCACAGCCAGCTCAGAGCCTGGAGCCTGTCTTCAGATTCTGTGTCTCCCTCTCTCTCTGACCCTCCCCTGCTCACGCTGTCTCTAGCTCGCTCTCTCTCAAAAATAAATAAAACATTAAAATTAAAAATAAAAACAAAAAACAAAACAAAAAAACCCAAACAGGTAAAACTATAAGCTGAGATTTCATCAGGCAGTAAGTGCCACTAGGTTGGACTATAAATACGGAAATTAATGTCTTCAGGCAAAATGACCAGAACTAGTATTTTCAAATGAACGCTATCCTTCAAGGCAGGATGTAACCTTATTTCAGCACTGCTGTCACCTCTGATGTTTCTGGATTCTTCTTTGGGTAGCTCCTGCGAGAGCCCATTTTTGAGCTAGGCCAGAAAATCAGGCTCCTTCCTTGGGTCACACGTTCTCACTTAGCTAATGGACCGGGCCAGGAGATGCAAAGCTGTTTTGAAAGCTCCAATGCATCCTTGAATGACCAACGTCCGCCACAGCTGAGGATACTTAGGTGAATATGCTACAGGCTCTGGACGGCGCTCCTACAGAAAAGCGCTCTACGTGTCCCGAGCAAGTCCCAGAGCATCGGTGCGTCACAGCTCCCAAAGCCATTTGGCACAACGGCGACACTCACGCGTATGCATCAGTTTTGGTAGAATGCAAGATCATACTTGAAAATTAAAAAAAAGCGTTCTGAAGTTGAAGAAGGCATACTCAGGAGGGATTAGAGGGGTGCTTTGTGGGGAAGGGACGTCTGACTCTCTCTCTAGAATGTGAGTCCCACGACAACAGACTTTGCCTGCCTTATTCCACTATGAATCCTTGGGTCCTAAAACAGTGCTTGGCACATCCAAAGACATCTGTCGGCTGAATGAATAAAGAAATTAGAATTGGAACGGGGTGTGAAAGATGGATAGGATATGCTGATAGCAGGCGTATACATACAAGGCAAGGGGTATGTATTTTAATATATATATTTTAAATATAAAAGGGAAGACACAGAAGGGGGGGGCCGCGCTTAAGGCTTAACACCCAGACGAATCCTTAGATAATGGAGAGTGAACTTGCTGGAGGACAAGTTAAAAAGTGGCATTTTCCACACATTAACTTGGTTGAATTATGCAAGGTGGACTGAACAGAGAAAGAGAAGGCAGGGACATCCGTCCCCGAGGCCCTGAGGCACTCCAGGAGAGGGGCCATTATTTGAAGATGTGACAGCAAGGTGACAAGGAGGAAGGCTTCTCAGCTCAGCCAAAGAGGACAGACTGTTACTAATCATCTTGGGCCAAAAGGCAGCTGTAAACAAGAAATCCTGCTAAGTCAGTCACGAAGATAATGGGGGCAGAGATCCTAATGAAGACAGAGGGCGCTATCCACACAAAGAATCCCCTAAACTGGGAACGGGGGCTGGTTAATGCCTGACCACAGATAAAGAGCCATTTTAATGCTTGTTTTGTTTCCCTGAACAGAGCATTCCTTCCATCGGGTGGCAGGTGCTTGAATTGCAGGCCAAAATCTTCGAGAAACAAAGCAAGGCTCAGGAATGGGAGCAGAAGCCTAGGCAGATGTGAACGGCGTATCTTCACGGGCTCTCCTACTAGGCAACAGTGACACAGAATAACCACCGGTCCCCAAGCGGAGCCGCTAGATTACGGAGTCCAAGGCTTGACAGACCCCAACTGTGATGAACACATAGTCCTGGAAGGAGAGTATATAAACCTATTGTGGAAATTTATCCCCGTCACCTCTGAGCTGGGGAGCAAAAGGCAAGTTATGTAAATTCTGAGCCCTGCTTTTCATATATTTCATTTTATTTTTTAAATGTTTATTTATTTTGAGAAAACAAGTGTGTGTAAGTGCACGAGCGGGGGAGGGGCAGAGAGAAAGGGAGAGAAGAGTCCCAAGCAGGGCAGAGCCCATCATGGGGCTCGATCTCATGAACCATGAGAGCATGACCTGAGCCAAAATCAACAGACACTTAACCGACTGAGCCACCCAGGTGCCCCTGCACATATTTTAAGTAGAAATAATACTACCTGCCCATAAGAGATTTGTGAGGACTAAGAAAATAAAGGGCTTTGGTCAATCAGCAAAGTGCCTTACACCTGTTGGTCTAATCATCATTGCCATCATCATCTATGTTTGGCCTGGACACCAGCTGACACTGGATGACACGGTCTTAGCAAATCTGTAAACCTGGGGTCACACTGATGAATTTCTTTAAAAAGTTTTTTTAAGAAGGCTCCACGCCCGATGTAGGGCTTGAACTCACAACCCTGAGATCAAGCGTCACATGCTGTACTAACTGAGCCCGCCAGGTGCCCCTCACAGTTATATAGATCTTTGAGAAAATATAAAGCTAGTGTGGCCTGGGATCAATCACCAAAAACTAACACCCAAAAGCAGTTGCTGTGCTTTCTCTTCTGTGGAAAAAAATAGGGCATGAACTCCAAACGCCGTAATAGTTTGAATCATTTAACCTGCACATGAACTTGGTAATATACCTACACACAAGAATCTAATTAAGAATTTTGGTGGGGCACCACACCTCACAGTTCGTGGGTTGGAGCCCTGTGTTGGGTTCCGCGCTGATGGTGTGGAGCCTGCTTGGGATTCTCTCTCTCCCTCTCTCTCTCTACCCCTCCCTTACTCGGGGGCTCTCCTTCTCTCAAAATAAATAAACTTAAATAAGTGAAAAGGACAAAGTGCAAAACAATATGCTTTGGGACTGACTGTTAGCAGGGAGGGGGCTTCTTACTGGGGTGATGGAAATGTTCTGGATCGAGGGGCGCCTGGCTGGCTCAGCTGGAAGAGCCTGAGACTCTTGGTCTCAGCGTTGTGAGTTTGAGCCCCACCCTGGGTGTAGCGACAACTAAAATAAACTTAAGGAAAAAGGAGGGGGGCATCTGGGTGGCTCAGATGGTTAAGCGACCAACTCTTGATTTTAGCTCAGGTCATGATCTCCTGATTGTGAAATCATGAGATCAAGCCCCGCACTGGGCTCTCTGCTGTCAGCGTGGAGCCCGCTTAGGATGCTCTGACCTTCCTACTCTCTCAAAAATAACAAACATTAAAAAAAAAAAAAAAAAAAAAAAAAAGACTGTTTCCCTCTGCTGTTCTCCACTGACATGCTGTCCCTCCCGAAAATACAAAATGAATGAATGAATGGCTTAAAAAGTTTCTGGAATTAGGGGTACCTGGGTGACTCAGTAGGTCAAGCGTCCAACTCTTGGTTTTGGCTCAGGTCATATTGCATGGTTTGAGAGTTCAAGCCCCGCATCGGGCTCTGCATTCACAGTGTGGAGCCTGCTTGGGATTCTCTCCCCGTCCCCCCCCCCCCTTGGCCCTCCCATCTCTCTCTCTCTCTCTCAAAATAAATAAACTTAAGCTCAGAGCCTGAAGCCTGCTTTGGATTCTGTGTCTCCACCTCTCTGCCCCTCCCTTGCTCATGCTCTGTTTCTCTCTGCCTCTCAATAATTGAAAAACAAACAAACAAACAAAAACAACCAGTAGTGTATAAAAACAGTATAGGAACGCCTGGCTGGCTCAGTTTGTGGAGAGTCTGACTCTTGATCTCAGGGTTGTGAGTGCTCGTCCCAGGCTGGGTGTTACAAGGTGTACTTGTAACAACAAAAAACAAAAAAACACCAAAACACCAAAAATGATATAGAAACACATTAATTTATACAGAAAAAAGAATAAGTCACATAAAATGTTACCACTGGTTCTCTCTGTGGGTATGATTATCATTACAGAGGACTTCAAAACCTCCATTTTGGAAAAGGAGTTATATATGAGGGATATAAAAAAAAAAATCACCATTGCAGAATTCTCCTTTGCATTGGAGAATTAACTCAGTAAGCAACATTCTCAGAGAACCTCATCTTGAGAACTATGCCAATGTTTTACATACTCAAAAAATAATTAAAGTCAATCAAGATTAGAGAGGAAGGACCAAAATGGTACGCGAGCCAAAACTTAACCTAACCCTATTACAAATCTAACCACGCTGAAATGGCAGAAAAGGAAAAACCAGTTACTTTGGGAACAGTATTTTGACCAAAAAGAAGTACATACAAATAGATCAGTCAAGTTGGTAAGTTTGGTTGCTCACAGGGGTAGGAGATGGCAATTCCGAAAGTACTTTAGGAGGGTTGTGGGACGGGACAGTCCGTGGACGCGCTGGGGATCAGGAGAAGCGGGGTTCTCACCCCTGGAGAGAGGAGTCCCTAGGTAAGGAAAGTGGAAGGGCAGAAGGAAACCTCGCAGCGCTGGCTGTGATCAAAGGGTCAGGAGAAACGGAGTTCACATTCTGGGTTCCAGCCCCACTCAGCCATGTGTACGCACGCACGCATACACCGGTACATACGGGTGTGTCTGCCTGCACCCACCTCCTAGCCTTGTTCACCGCCAAGGCCGAGAACTAGCTGCGGCTCAGCAGCAATGAGTGGAATTGGCCCCCAGATCTTGATTTCTAAAGGTCATTTTCTTTTTAAGTTCTTTATTTATTTTGAGAGGGAGGGAGAGCACACGTGTGAGTGGCAGAGGGGCAGAGAGAGGGAGGGAAGAAGACTCCCAAGCAGGCTCCAGGCTGTCAGTGCAGAGCCCAACGACGCTGGGCTTGATCCCACGAACTGAGATCACGACCTGGGAGGAAATCAAGAGTCAGATGCTTAACCGACTGAGCCACCCAGGTGCCCCCTAAATGCCATTTTTGAATAAAAGGAGCCAGTATTCCTTGGAGACACGTCTGAATCCTGGACAGGAGCACGAAAAATAGAAGATGCGCTTAGAATATCATACAGACCAGAAAGTAAGTTTTTGAAGATGGTCGGGGCTGGGGCGGAGAAGGGAATGGAGAGGTGCCTGCCACTCAGGAGGTATAAAGTGTTAGGTACGCAAGACAAGTTCTAGAGCTCGCTGTACAACACTGTGCCTGTAGTCAACAATGCTGTATTGGACATTTCCACGTCTGTTAAGTGGGCAGAGCTCATGTTAAGCATTCTTATCACAATAAAATACAAAATGGAAAACGAAGATGACTGACGACTAAATAAACCTCTACCAAAAAAAAAAAAAAAAAAAAGGAAAACGATGGGGACATGCTGAAAGGACAGAGGCTAAATCTGTGGCCATCTAGGTAAGAGAATAAAGAACAATAGTAATGGGTTTTTTTTTTTTAATGTTTTATTTATTTTTGAGAGAGAGAGAGAGAGAGAGACAGCATGAGCAGGGGAGAGTCAGAGAGAGAGAGAGAGAGAAACAGAATCTGAAGCAGGCTCCAGGCTCTGAGCTGTCAGCACAGAGCCCGACGCGGGGCTTGAACCCACGAACTGTGAGATCATGACCTGAGCCGAAGCCAGATGCTCAACCGACTGAGCCACCCAGGCGCCCCAGTAACGGATTTTTAATTCACAAAATAATGTATCTATTTTAGAAGCTGAATGCTCTTTTCCAATGAAATTACACAAAGCTGAAGTGTCTTTAAGACTCCCTCCCACAACACCATCTGAATTAAGTTCTCAAAGTTAACATGATCACGAGTCAGACATATGGACATGTGCCTCCTGCTATGACGCACTGAGCAGGTTACAATGTTGCTTCTAGGGTATCGCTGCCCCCCAAAAATGTAACCTGGATCCAATGACAAGCAAACGTGAAAGGAATCCAAATTGAGGAACATTCTGCAAAGCGGCTTGGGGACAAAGAAGATAGGAGATACTCCAGCGTAAAGAAGACTGAGGAGGGTATGGTAAGTATGGGTCTTGACGACGATGGTGTGCGTTATCTAAGGTGTTAACAGAAGCTTGGCAACTTTTTGAAAGTCTGAAATTATTTCCACATGAAAAGTAAAAAACAAAACAAAACAAAACATTGAAAACTACAGCGAACAGAACACACAACAAGGTCAAGTTCCGGCCCGTGTCAGCTTATGAGGATTTTCATACGTTAGATGCTACTTCACCTTCAGGTGTGCCAAGTTCATTATGCACACAACCAGGGGCTCGAACTATGCTTGGGGACTCCACACTGTGCTCTGAGGAACAAGGAGGAGGAGCAAGGTGACAGCCCGGGACCCTTCCTCCTTCCGTGGACACCATTCTGCTTCTAGCTGCTTTACCCGAATAATCTCACCTGACAGGAGGACTCTGCTACTAAAGAACGTAGGTCAGAATACTGTTTAGGATAAACGGGGAACCAACTATTGACACATGGATGAACCTCAAAACCACTACGCTAAGTGGGATGGGCCAGGCACGGAAGAGCACATGCGACTTTGTTCCCATGACGTTCTAAGCAGGCAAATCCAATGTCCAGAACTGCGGAACTCATCTCTAAATTTATATAGGTTGTAAGTATCATTCTATACTGTATAGAAACATGAATCAGATTAGTAACTGGTGCAAAGTGGAGCAGATGGACTGGGGAGGAGCACATGGGACCTTTCTGGGGTGGGTCAGAGGCATGTATACGTTTGTCGAATGGAACAGGAAACTTTTAAGGGGTATATCTTATTGTATTTAAATTATACTTCAAGAAACCGGACTGGAAATTTCATCTCAAATCTCTCACATGAAAAGAATTCGTAGTTTCTGATTTATTAGACCGATCACGTATGCTGTGTAGGCCACAAATCTCAGAACAAGGACAGCAGAAGAAATGTCCTTGAAAAATGGAGGAAAACCTCACGACCAAGCTGAGATAATGCCGGGTTAAACAGTGATACGTGAAACTGGAAATACTTTAATACATACCTTGTAGAAGAAATACTGTACAAGGTGTGCTATTCTCACGTAATATAGATGTCCGTGAGCCAACAGCAGTTTCTTTAAATGTTTAAACTTCGGAACGGCATAATCGCTATTCCTGGCTGCTTGGCGACCTTCTTTGCCTTTAATACCTAAAAAAAAAACCAAAAAAACCCCAAAAAACAAAAAAAGAAAGACAACTTCCATAGGATGAATATTTTATAAAATAAGCGACCCCCTAATTCGTTATTTGCACACTTTTACCGTGTTAACATGACATAGCTCACTGTAACGTTTAACTTTGTTTTTTTAACGAGATGGTGCAGTAACAGTGACAGTGAAACCTACCAATACAAAGCAAAATGAAGTCATTGGTAATTACCTAACTATAACCCAATATAAAACAATGAGACAAAATCACTGCTTTAATCATTACGAGGCAAAAAATTATCTTGAGAAAATTAAATCAGAAAGTGATCTGAAAGGCACTTAGGAAGTGCTTAAATGGCCAGGCCACTAGATAAGGGGCTACAGCAAAGCAACTCAGAGCCCCGGGCTTTGTGGTCTAGGAGCTCAAAGCTGATGAGCTCTGGAAGGACGGGGGAATCCCCTCACGGAATGAAACTCTTGAGTACTGAGTGTCGAGCTCAAGCAGCTTTAGGCCACTGCCACACTGAATAACCAACAAGTAAAAAACAGAGTACCTCCCCAAAAGAGTGCTTTCCAAATGGGAAGCAGTTGGGTATCCCAACTGCAGTGATTATAATCCCCAAGATACTTAATTCAAGGATTTCTTCTCCCCCCCCGACCCCGAAACTTGCTGGGGTATGAGCATTGCTTCCTACCAGCAGCCTGGCATGGGGGAAAATGGCGCAGGCAGTCGGGAAGGCTGTTGTTGCATGCCAACGAATACATTCAACGCTACGGCCCGAAGTGCCCATAAATATTGCCACATGGCAAACCAGCCAACCGATGATCATCTCTTGGTCCCAAACAGTTAAGAATCTCAGAAAATATAGTGCAGCAACGTAAGCAGGCGATGTGGCCAGGGGCGGAGAATCAATAAAATTTCATGCATCCTGTCAAAGGGAGAGCTGAATGATCGATGACACTGCTAGCACATTCGGGAAATTCCATCTGCTTGGCTAATCTAAAAATATCCTCGAACATTATACTGCTACAGTCCCACCAGGGGTAGGACGGTGGGGTGGACATGTTTAGATGAGGGCCTTCACTCAATTAATAATTATCATTCCCAAATTAAAATTCAAGAGGAGTAACCAAAGCATTCTTTCTAGAATATAAGACCACCATACGTACAAGCAATACGGGTCCCTTACAGACGCCATCTCGTGAGGTGTTTCTTACCTATTCCCACATGGGATTCCAAGATCATACTAACATCGTTGGCACCATCGCCTATCGACAGTGTTATGGGGCTGCCTTTTAGATTCTTCACCATTCTGACAATCTAGATGTTAAATACAAAAGAGGAAGAACAGGTCAAAGCAGAATGTGAGACAGTACAACACTGGCGGTAGATTGGACCTTCACACTTGTAAATGGGGGCCTTGAAAACAAGCAGAAAGGTAGTCTGCGCACAGGCGTAGAGCAGGCTTCAATTCTCAGAGGCAAAGGAACATAGCTTTTCCCACGTTACACCAGTGCCCACTTGTTTTGAGAGATTCCATGGGTCTATTAAGTGTCAGAAAAGGTTGCCTCCTACCTATACGAGAGGCCAGTACGTTTCCCTCTTTTGTCCCTGCTTCGCGCATCCGTTCAGATGAGGTGTCGAGTGTGAGAGTGAGAGTTAACCAGAAAGCTGGTTTGGGGTAACGTGCATAGGGCTACTAGAGTAAGAGTGGGTAGAGAGAACAATGCTTCTCAAAGCTCTCCATCTCTCCCCCCTGCAGACGCAACCACTTCCTTCGGCGCATGCCCATATTCCAGGGGACTTACCTCACGTTAAGTTCTGACACCCATCCGGGGGCCAACTAAACGTCACTAGATCTCCCAATGCCCGGTGTGACTTCGTCACTTCTACAGGCAGCTGCATTTGTACATGGGGGCAGCTTCAGGACGGTGAGATTTGCAGAAAGTTCCCTGAGATAGGTTTATGAAGCCTGTCACTATTCCCTGAGTGTCTCTTCAAGCTGTGTCAATGGCATGGTGCCGCTCACTGCTGTGTTCGGGGTAGGCACCGAACAAGTCATCTTGTCCCGGCGGAGTTACTTGAACAAGTATACTGGGTAAGCAGGTGCCCTCTCGCCCCAGGTTTGACATATTGACCGCTTCATGTGTCATCCTCCCCCAAAACCCCTAGAATCTGGCAGCTTTTAAAAAGCTTACATAATACTCTGGTTTCTCTTCAGATCGTATAAATCTTTCGCCTTTTAAAAAGCTTACATAATGAAGTAGCTAACTAATGCTTTGCGAGAATTCTGTCCTCAGATTTGCTTTTACCAGTGAACATAAATAAAATCCACTTTCGACATAAGTGATTAGAAAGAATTTACATGAGGCTAAGCCACCCCACAGTCTTTTCCTTAAACAAAATTCAGTAGGGGTTCCGTTGTACAAAATAGCATACAAAAAGCCCACATCCAATTCCATGTAACACAAAAATGTTGTTATTGTGAAATGCCAGCTCTCCCCTATTCCCTCCCGTCAACTTGCTTCTCTTTAAAGTGTTTTAGGGACTGAGAAATAATCTGTAAATGAGTCAAAGACGAAATTAAAGAACCCAAACTAATTTTCTTTTACAAAGTCCAACGTATTCCTTTTCTAAATGTATGTTTATTGATTTCCGAGAGGGAGAGAAAGTGTGAGCTAGAGAAGGGCAGAGAGAGAGGGGGACAGAATCCGAGGCGGGATCTGCGCTGTCAATGCCGGGCTCCAACCCACAAACCGGGAGACCGTGACCTGAGCCCAAGTCAGACACTTAACCGACTGGGCCGCTCAGGCGCCCCCTCCACTTGATTTTGATGGGCTACAATACCAGCTAACCTAATTGCACCTGGGAAAGCTGTGCAGTAATGATTCGCACCTCAAGGAAGAAAAACCTCAGCCAGGAAAGGTCGAGGGAAGGCAATAAAATTATCAAGGGTGACAGGCTCTGCATAAAAATAGATTGGGAAGATGAAAGGTTGTCCTTGCGGAAAGATGAAAAGATATACAGTCATGGATGATAAAATCATGAAAGATTTAGACAGATAAACACGGTGTTTTTTACTGTGCCCGGGTCACTTGGATTAAGGATTCTCTTCAATTTCTAGGAGAGCTTCATGAAAAAGAAACCAATTTACCAAAAACGATTTCCCGATCAACTACAACCGTCCACAATACAATGTGCAAAGATCCAAGAAAGACATAAGGCTGGGCACACACCTTAAGCAACATATAATGGAAGAGCAGAGACAAAGAATGAACACAAGAATATCAGATGATACATTAACAAGGGACGCTACCAACGCGAAGTATCTGTGCAACGGAGTACCTAACACTGTCGTCTAAGCTGTCCACGGGAAAAGGCCTAAGATTGCAGAGAAGGGAGGGGACACGATGTGCGAGAGTGACGAGCAATGATTTTACAGAAGGAAGTCATTTTATCGAAATCACGGTTAAAGACAGAAAAGAGTCATTTTATCGAAATCACGAAGGACGGTTAAAGATTTGTGGGGATAGGAAAAGGGGCTTGGAGGGGTATTCCAAGAGAGGGAATGGTCTAAGGCGCTAGCCAGCTACAATATATGGTCAGAAAACAGACTGGCTTGAGTAGATCAATGAGCTTTCACATGGGGGGGCAGGGCATAGACAGGTGTATTGGGGTCCAGATCAACAGGGGGTGATATTCTGAAAGTAGGAGGAGGATGCAGGAGGAGCGGGAAGAAAAAGCAAGACCGCAGGCCAAGAGCAGAGTTAGGCGACTAGTTAGAGGAGAAGTTCAGGGAGCTGTTAAAGGCCTGCACCCGGGAGGAAAGCAAAGAATGAATGAAAAGGACAGTGCCCCAGAAAAGGGAGGAATTTGGTGACTGAGACCGCACGGAAGGGTAAGGCGTGGGGGAAGCCAACGGAGGGTTTGAACCCAGAGACCTGGAAGTACACCGAGCTCGGTAACTAATGTGCCCGGCCAGGAAGATGGCGGGCTCTAAAGCTGAAGTGAGACGGAAATGACAAACCCATGAAGACGTGTTCTGGAAGCAGCTGGAGAAGTCAAGTGGAAACCCCGAGTACCTAGATTGGAGAAGTGACTGGAAAGTCTCCCATGTGGACATGACAGACGAGAATGGGTATCCTGGAAGATGGGACTCTACTGAGGCATCACTTCCCAGGGAAGTAGCGTAGTCAGGACCCTAGTGAGCGATCTGAACAAAAGACAATAAGTGTAGGGGGAAAAACGAGATCTTGCCTCTGACCAAAGGGACACATTTCTATGGCTACGCCTCTGGTAGGCTCTACTTTGTTGCCTAGGGTAACCGAGGCTCCGAAGGTTGAAGAAAAAAAAGAAGAGCATCTGATGGTGGTGGGGACTGAGAGTAAGAAGAAAGGAGATGGAGACAATGCCCTCAATTAGGATGGGCTGTGTGTGTGTCTGTGTGTGAAGCAGGGGAGAGGGCTTGTGTAAAGGATGAGCGGAAGACACGGCCATCCCCTGGGTCTACAGCGAGCAGCAGCAGAAAGTGAAGAAGGAAGGTTAATACTGCACACGAAAGAATACAGTGTGTACAGCCGTGACAAAGTCTGTAGCTGAGACTCTAAGGTTCTTTGGACTCAGTAAGTACAAAAAAGCAAGGGGAAGCAGATCAAGGGGCTCGAGAAGCTGGAGAGAACACTGTGATGGGGACTGGCCCTTGGACTAGGTTTAATTAGGGGTAAAATTTCTGTCGGGGCTGAGAGAAATTCAGAGAAAATTCCAGATGAGGAAAGCTTTGAAGGTTGGCATGAGCGTGGCATGTGGGAGGGACACAGTGGGAGGAACAGGCAACATGAGTGGAGGGTTTGGGCTGGCTGTGGGAGTGGCAGTGGACACGAAGCCTGGACAGACACAGTAAGGGCCCACATCGGGGAGCCGAAGGGCCCCGGAAACTACTGAAAGTGCCCGAGTAAGAATACAGGATGGGAGAAGCGGCTGGTTGTAACAAGTCGGCACCCCAATGACAGCTATGAGCAAAGGTGGGATCAAGGTGACTGACTCTATGTAAAGGGAGGGAGGGAAGGAGAAGGGTCAAAGGTAGTTTGGTGACTTAGGGAGCAAGAGAAAGGTGGCACCGGTAACGAGAATAACGAAGACAAGGGAGAATACGAACGCGCCTGCAGGAGGACATTATCGATCTGTCTTGGCCACCAGCATTTAATAGGACGGCGCGCATTCCACACTCAAGGGGACCAGAGCGTGGGTTAATTCAAAATGGCAGGCAGACTCCCGAATTTGACCGCAAAGGAGCCTGTGCAGACGTAATAAATACAAAGGGGCCCTTTGAGGGAAGAAGTCAAGAGCTAGGCGAACACTGGCCTTGATAGAAACTATCAGGAACACTGGCCCTGACTTCCGTGTACAGAAACACCCAGAATGGAACGTTCACGAGCGTCTGGTTACCTGGGCTTTCTGTAGCGGCGCCATCCGGCAGCACAGCACCGCGGTGCACTTCATGCAAATCTGTAAGAAAATGCTTTTGTAGTTGTTGGAACTGGAGTCTTGACTGGAATTGAGTATGAGCGACAGTGTGGAGCCATCGATGATTAGTCCATATTCCTGATGTTCTGTCCATGCTCTGGAAGAGAAAAACAAGGCTGTAAGTGAACCTTTAATATGTTTCTATTTAGGAACCCGCGTTTTTACAAAACCGCAAAGGGCAGCGCCCCACAAATGAGTCATTGTCGATCTGGTTCCCGGACCTGCAAACTGTAAGGGAGCAACTGGGTCTCATAATGGCAGAGCACACGTTTTCCGTGACGTCTTTGAGATTTGAGCTGCCCAAAGAGATATTAAGTTCTAACAGGTATAGAAAGAATGGACATCTGGCAGGCTGGCTCCGTGTTAGAAACTCATGGAGAACTTTGGAAGTTACAGATCACTCAGTCGAACTCTGATACGGAGACAAATCTTCAGTCGGAAAACTTCCTGGTACAAGGAAAAGACAAAATGGCTTTGGGCACAGAAGCCACAGAGGATCTTTTCCTGACCTGTCAGCAGATCTGGCTTCTCAAAAATGACAGAGAGCCTAAAAGACAGTGTTCGTTAAAAAAATACCGTTCCGTCATGATCTATGTTCCTTAAGTAAGTCTCATTTTATACTTTCCCGTCGCAATCATCTGGGCAGTTTAAAAAATTGCCCACACCTGGGGGGCACCTGGGTGTCTCAGCCGGTTAAGCATCTGACTTTGGCTCAGGTCATGATCTCACAGTTCGTGGGTTCGAGCCCCACATCAAGCTCTATGCTGACAGCCAGCTTAGAGCCTGGAGCCTGTTTCAGATTCTGTGTCTCCCTCTCTCTCTGACCCTTCCCTGCTCGCTCACTCTCTCTCTCTCAGAAATAAATAAAATATTAAAAAAAAAATTTTTAAAAATTGCGCACACCTGAGGTCTATTCCTGGACAAATGAAGTCTTGGGCAGTGCTTGGTTATTTAAAGGTGGATGTTCCAGAAAGCTCTGTAGGTGATTCTCAGGCATAGCCGGGATGACTAATGGGTATTAGGTGCCAGGTAAGACAAACAGAACAGGTGCCAAGTACTTAAGAAAAACATATGGGGGGCAACTCACAACCATAAAAATTCTACCAATTAACATTTCATTTTTTTGTAATTAAGAAAAAAAACAGCAATGAATCAATTTTTGCTCAGGGAATCTTGGTTAAGCGTCCAACTTTGGCTCAGGTCATGATCTCATGGTTTGTGAGATTCTGACTCACTAGGTTTGGGGCGGGGACAAGAGACTATTTCTAACAAACTTCTGGCGCTGATGGAGCTGCTGTTCTACAGACCAAACTTTTGAGTAGCAAGAGCCTACCACACCTCATGATTCTCGTATTCTGCATTTCATTGGTATATCCTACGAACACTACAGTACTTTGTAGTAGTGCTGCTTCGTAATTTTAGAAGCATGTTTTATTCACTAAGAGACAGCGATCGTGTGTTCTCCTTCGCTTCCCTACTCACAGAGCTGCCTTAATGTGCAGAAAATAGTGGCTCAGTAATCCATCAAGCAGTATTTGTAAACATCAATGGTAAGGCAGGACATATAAGAAGAATGGAAAGAATTACTAAACGATCTTTCCTTGGAGAACAGAAAAAACCTCCTCAAGGGGACAGAAGTATACGTGAGGGGACGGAATCTATGCAAATGACATCGAATGGCTAATCCAGAGGCAGGGACAATAAACACCAGGAAGAATAGTGTCCTAGAAAGACGGGGTAGAAGGAGGGGAGGGGAGAAAATGTATACTGTGGGGCACCAGGAAAGCGAGCTGAAAAGGTCACTTGAGGCCTTGGTTGCGATCTCATTCTGCGGGTAAGGGAGAACCACATGTCAGGCAGAGGGACTTATGGGCTTTAGGCATGGCTTGCTAGGAATTTGATGTGCAGCCCTCGTGGTGAGGCCAGGAACCTGAATGAGGCTTGGTGGCTGATCTGAAGTGGAAGGGGACAAAGACAAAGAGGCAGAAGCTGGGCAAAGTGATTCTGGGCCGGATGCTTCTGTAACTTGATGGAGGTCTGCGCCCAACTCCAAACAGATGAACCGCAAGTGGGAATGTTCTGAGATGTTTCAGAGGCGCTGGCTTTTCCAAGTGTCCAGAGCTGCTGAACAGTGCTAGGGACCAAATGAGGTCCCATGAGCCCACCGCCACATGCAAGTCCTACGTTGAAGCTCTAAGCCCCAGTGTGATGGCATTTGGAACTGGGGCCTTTGGGAGGGGGCTGGGTTTGATGAAGTCACGAGGAGCTTAGCGCCCTTGGAATAAGAGACACCAGGACTTCATCTCTCGGTGGTGTGTTAAGGACCCCGTGAGACGGAAGAGGGACCTCACCGGAACTCGACCATGCCGGCACCCTGACCTTCACACTTCTAGACCCCAGAAATATGAGCAATCAGTTGCTACTGTTTAAGCTACCTGGTCTATGCTATTCTGTTATGTTAGCCGGAGCAGACTAAGACAAATGGGCCAGGAAAATGTAATTTGGACTGCCTTTAGAAGTACCATTTGGCTAAAGGAAGGAAACATTGATGACAGGCAATTAATAAAAACATGTTTACTCTCACTGATGCCCAAGTACCAAAAAGAACAACAGCTGGTTTAGAATCGGCTGCAGCCTCATGAACATGGGGAAGGCAGTTTGAAAGCTTGTTTAAACGCTAGAGATAGCATAGTTGTTAAAAAGCCTGGGCTCTTTGGATAGGCTTGTTCTACTCCTTGTTAGCTGTGTAATCTTGAATAAGCTACTGCATCTCTCTGACCCTTACTCTCTGTAAATGTTTTCTTTGAGACAGAGAGAGAGAGAGAGAGAGAGAGAGAGAGAGAGAGAGAGAGAGACAGCGTGCGCAAGCCGGGGAGAAGCAGAGAGAGAGAGAGAAAGGGAGATACAGAATCTGAAGCAGGCTCCAGGCTCTGAGCTGTCAGCATAAAGCCCGATGTGGGGCTAGAACTCACAGACCATGAGATCATGACCTGAGCCGAAGTTGGACACTTAACTGACTAAGCCACACCCAGGCGCCCCATGAATTATTATCTTTTTAAAAGTTTATTTATTTATTTTGAGAGAGAGAATCCCAAGCAGGTTCATACTGTCAGCACAGAGCCCAATGCAGGGCTCAAACTCACAAACCATGAGGGGCACCTGGGTGGCTCAGTCGGTTAAGCGTTCGACTTCGGCTCAGGTCACGATCTCACGGTTCATGGGTTGGAGCCCTGTGTCGGGCTCTGTGCTGAGGAATAGCTCAGAGTCGGGAGCCTGTTTCAGATTCTCTGTCTCCCTCTCTCTCTGACCCTCCCCTGCTCACGCGGTCTCTATCTGTATCTCAAAAATAAATAAAACATAAAAAAAAAAACCTCACAAACCATGAACTCATGATCTGAGCCGAATCAAGAGTTGGACACTTGCCCGACTGAGTCACCCAGGTGCCCCTCTGGGCACTGAATTATTATGCATCAGTGGCTTTCCTGGAGACCTTTAAGTTCTCCAAGTTCTTCGTAAACAGGAAGTTGAAAGCAGAGGTATTTGGTTTCGTTCAGAGTTCCAGGGCATGAAAACCCATCCTGAAAATGGCTCTAGGACCTCAAATTGCATGGAAGATGTTCTAGAGGCCGGTTTCATTGCACCCAGTAGACCAGGCCAGACTGAGTGCTCACTACCCAGACCCTAAACATTAAGAAATGGAACTACTTTTCTATAGCTTGAGAATTACAGGATTTTCTTTTAAATTAAAAGAGAGGTAGAACGTGCCATGATCTCCAAAGGGCCATTAGCCAAGTCCCCAGGGAAGGTTTTAACTTCTAAGGATAAAACACCGGTGAACAAAGAATGATAAAGCCTAGAAAACGGAGCCTTCTGCATAAACGGCTGTGATTTACGTTTATACTGACGCCTAAGTATAAGAAACTGATGCAGTTCCTTACTTTTTAAGGCTTCTAGTACTTTTAGGAAAATCGTGCAGCAACTTCTTCCGGTATTCTATCAGCAATTCATGTAATCGATCTTCCTTCCTCTCACTTTCCTCGATGGTTTTCGTAGTCAGTTCTAAGAGCTCGGTGCTGGTCTGGAAAAGGCGGCACGCGTAGCATGTAGATTTGGCCGTCTCCATCTTGTCCCCGGTGAGCACCCAGACCTTCAGACCCGCCGCATGGAGGGCTTCAATGGTCTCAGCTGCCTGATCTTGCAGCCTGGGAATACAAAGGAGACCTTGTTATCCTAAAAACTCCCTGACGGAGAGTCGGCAAGAAGCCTTGCTAAAGAGAAGCTTGTTACAATTCACAGCAATTATGGCGTCCGGACATGTTATCAGTTGGTTTTCTTATATATTCTTTACTCTTTCTGAGAATGTTCTATTTGGCATAGTTTTACTTCCTAAAATGAATTTCCAACAGTGAGGTTTGAAAGCGCTCACGGCATCTCTTTAGGTAGCCGGCTTCCCACGGCAGAATTGAGAATCGTCACTCTTACCTAAAATGTTCATAATGTGCTCCATTATATTTCATGTCTCACCATAACAAATACTTAACATGGTTCAAAACAGAGAGGGCCAAACACATTCTAATGAGATACTGAGGCAAGATAACCCATCCCCATTGCTGAGGAGCTCTAAGAAGAGGAAAGCCAACCATCCTGAAAGACAATTTAAGCATAAATCTGAAAGGTAAGGAGAGAAGAGTACGTTCTTAGAGTTGCCTTTGGCCAGAGAATAGCAAAGAAATTAGACTAAACGAATCCCATTAAAATTTCAATCCCTTCCAATGTGGCTGAAATATACATATGCGTGTGTAAGTTTCTGTTTGGTTCAGTCTCATAATTTGCATTTATAATTTCTTAAAATCTCCTAAAATGTTAAGAGCCTACAACTTATTGCTTCTGACTGATCAGTGCTAGAGCCCTACCATCATGTCTAAGGGAGCTGGGCCTGTAGAGTTAAAGCCCATTATTTGAAAATATGCAAAAACATGTGCTAGCCTATTCAACTAGGTTAGACTGAGCTCCCATTTTGTTTGCTCTAACTTGAATTTCCTTTCTGCTCATTTCTGTCTGTCAAAGTCTTACCAATTCCATCAGGCACCAGCTCAAATGATGCTTCTAGCACGAAGCACTCTACATCATAAGACTATTTTACAAATATCTGCATAAATAAATGGATGGCTTTGTAAACATTCAAAGTATCTTAGAGATAACAAATTCATTCTTCTAAGCCCTAAATACTTAAAAAAAAAAAAAATCATCCCCAGTGCGCCTGGGTGGCTCAGTCAGTTAAACGTCGACTTCGGCTCAGGTCACGATCTCATGATTTGTGAGTTCGACCCTGTGTCAGGGACATTGAGCCCTCTGCTGTCAGCACAGAGCCTGCTTCACTTTGGATCCTCTGCCTCCCCCCTCCCCTGCTCGTTCTCTCTCTCTCTCAAAAAACAAAAACAAAACAAAACAAAATTATTCCCACAAACAATTCAAAAGCTGGCATATCAACAGACCTGAATAAAACATTTCAAAATCTGAGAATAAATGACCCATCTGGACAGATAACCACCCTAAACAACTGGTCATGAAAACAACAAGAATATTATTTTGTAGTTACTTGTCTTCCACAGCAGTGGCTCCAATTAAATTCATATTTGTCTCAATATCATCAAAAACCTTTTCCATTTTTTCTTCTCTGTCTTGTAAGGCCATTTTCGCCTCAATGAGCTGTCTGTTAATTCTTTCATAATCTTCTGGGGCAATTTCTTTGAAGGCTACACAGAGTGTCCGATACCCATCCTAGAAGCAAAGTAGGAGATCTCTAAGTTATCCAAATAGTTGGAAAAAAATCCCACACCCTCTTTAAATACTTTTGCTTCACTGTACACAAGAGAAATTTTGATGTATTTTTAGTAACACACACACACTAAGAGATTGCAACAATAAAGGTCCATTCAAATTAGGTTCAGAATAACAAAGTAATAGCTCTTGGGGTTTAAAAAAAAAAAAAAGCAGAACATACACCAAAAATTCTTGCAAAGTCTTGAAGTCTGCACATTCTGAACGGAAACTTGCTCCAGGACCATGTTTTCCATTAAAATATGGAAACCGGTATTACTAAATCCCCAAATATAAAAATAGACCCTAAACAAGCTAAACTTCATTTTAAACACTGACACAGCAATCCCACAAAAGAGCCATCTCCAGCAGTTCTGGGGGAGTGCAGGCTCACCATGGCGTTCCGTTCCACATGGGCTTTCGTTAACTCAATTTCATGATTTTGCACCCTGGGGAAAACCGCGGAGTCTGCTCCTTTACAAAAGAGAAGTATGTCTCCTAAAATAAAAAACCAAAATACTCAACTTAGAGTTGTCAGATGGGTACTGGGACTTCAAGAACAGATATCTTTACGGGGCCCCCACCCACCCAGCGACTAAGGACTCAAGCCTACCCAGCAAGGCTCATCCCAAGGGAAGGAGACACCTTGACCTTTACCCTCTCAGGACGATGCTCACTACCTCTTAAGACTAACGTGCACACGGAGAGTAACTCCGAGTGTGCAAGTACTTCTGTTAAAACAGACTTCCTTCTGGTGAATCATGAAAGAGTGTACTTGTGTTAAGAAGCTGCTTCTGAATTCTCTTTGGAAACGCTGTCAACCCCGGTCTAAAGTGCACACGTGGCATCCACAGGTGTCAAGGGTTAAACCCAAGAGCAAGTAAGATAAAATCACTTTGAATAAACTAGAGGTTGCTTTAAAGATGGTGGCTTGGGGCACCTGGGTGGCTCAGTCAGTTGACCGTCCGACTTCGGCTCAGGTCACGATCTCGCGGTTTGTGGGTTCGAGCCCCGTGTCGAGCTCTGTGCTGACAGCTCGGAGCCTGGATCTGACATCAGATTCTGTGTCTCTCTCTTCCTCTCTCTCCCTCAACTCCCCTCACACTCTGTCTCTCTCTTTCTCACAAACAGATAAATGCTAAAAAAATTTTAAAAAATGGTGGCTTGACAGTTTTGACTAGAAACTTGAAAACAGCACTGTACAGTGTTAGTACAAGTGCAGCTTTAGGTCATCCACGCATCCAGCAAAGTAGGCACGGGGGAGCATTAAGAAAAAGACACTTCACCCTGCTAAGGCAAAATGCTGAGTTTAACAAGTTCAGAAGATGTGTAACTCTGAGGTCAAGACCGCTGGCAGACCACTTCCCTGGCCGCCACACCATCTGCAGTGGACTGCATACATGCCCGTATGCAGGGAAAGCTACCAAGTATTTCAAACATTAAGTGGCTTTTTAAAAATTCCCCCTCACACATCCACGGTGTGTTTAAAAGTCACGCAACAAATTCTGTAGTTGTATAATAAAATCAATTTCAGGACCTGGCAGTCACACCACGAAGTACGAACAAAGTGGGAAATGTTTCCTCAAGGGTCTGTCTACATCTTCCCATTCTCACACTAAGGAATTTGGGGCAGATTTAACACTAAAAAGTAAATTAGTAGGATATGAATCAAGGAAAATTTGAAAACCTACCTAGAGACCCACATGGTCTCTCTCTCTCATGCATCTGAGAGCCTGCATATGAGGCAGGAGTGCTCCACCCATGGCTCTTGTTCAATCTGGGCAGAAGGTACCTCAGCCACCATGGCTGAGAAGACATGGGGGCGCCTGGGATGATGGTACCGGGTCCGAAGCCAAGGGCAAGCTTCCTCACTCTGTCAGAGAGCCCAGCGAGCTGGAGTAAAGCCACAATACCCTTTCCCAGCAGCTTGGATCTTCGTCATCCCTAGTCTGCCTGCTCCCAGGAAGTATGAAGCAGGGGGAAATGAGGAAGGTCCGGCCAGCAACTCTCTACACTCAACAATTCTACTGCTGACGGGGCACCCGGGTGGCTCGGTCGGTTAAGCGTCCGACTTTGGCTCAGGTCATGATCTCACAGTTTGTGAGTTCGAGCCCCGCGGTGGGCTCTGTGCTGACGGCTCAGCCTGGAGCCTAGTTCAGATTCTGTGTCTCCCTCTCTCTCTGCTTCTCCCTTACTCGCATTCTGTCTTTCTCTCTCTCTCAAAAATAAATAAACATTAAAAAAGAAGAATTCTACTGCTAGTTTATCTCCCAGCACCTGAGTGTACCGAGCTGATGCATGTAGACAGTACTGGGGACTGGTCCGTCCTATGAATTATAAAAGTCACGCTTTCAGTCTGGACATCCAAGACCGAAGAATAGAGCTCAGTTTCCAAGAAAATGCATATCACAGTCATACCAGAGCTTCTGCCACTGACAACCTGGCAAACTAAACATATGTGCTTATATAAATACATCGAGGCAGGGGTGCCTGGGGGGCTCTGTCGGTTAAGCATCCGACTCCGGCTCAGGTCATGATCTTGCAGTTCACTGGTTCGAGCCCAGTGTTGGTATCTGTACCAACAGCTCAGAGCCTGGAGCCTGCTTTGGATTCTGTGTCTCACTCCCTCTCTGGCCCTCAACCGCTCGACCTCTGTCTCTCCCGCCCCCTTCAAAAATAAAACTTTAAACATAAATACATGAAGGCACATACAGAAATCCATGCTTTGCAGGAGTTTAGGTAACCATATACTACACACAATGTTTTCCTTTCTTAAAACACCTGGTCAACATACAAAGCTACAAATGGAAAACGAGAAAAAGTCAAATGTTTAAAATGAATACCTGCTTGAGTCTTCACAATTACACTCATACGACGACGGACAGAATCGAAGTTTAAGGTGTGAAGAAGTTCATACCTTTATGAGACAACAAATGAGAAAAAGAAAATCCCTAGATCACATGGGAAAAATAGAACATGACAGGAACATCTGGAATACGCTTTCCTCTTTTGGTAAGGGCTGCTGGGTGGGTGCACGTAGTGGGTGCTTTCCGTCAGGTCTTTGAAATTTTTCTGCACTTAGAACACGGGGTCAGAGGCCACCAGGGTTAGTTAAGGGAGATGTATATCCTCTCATTATGTGACTTAAAATGGTAAGGAGCGAGCGACTACGCAGGAATGGTGGGCAAAGAGCTGGTGGGCCAGGCCATTTCTGGAGGGGTTTAGGAACAGTCCCACTCTGCCAATTCTCTTAATCGTCTCTGTGGTGCCCGCTGTGTGTTGAGCACAATGCTAGTGGCTGGAAAACAGACAAGAATCTGCCCGAGTCTCTTCCCTCAAGAGGCTCGTCGTACAAGACAGGAAGCAGAGGGTCAAGAGGACTACCTCTCAATCTGCCATATGATGCAGTAAAGGAACTCACAGGGGAGATGGGGAAGCACAGAAGGAAGGCTTCCTGGAAGAGGCGGGGCCTGCGCTGTGCCCTATAGGAGTGACATGATGAAGGTAGGGCGTCATGGCATTTGGAGTAGAGGAAAGGGCATGTGCAAAGGCACCGCATGGGGGACAGAAAGTAGTTCACTAAAGCTTGAAATCTAGTCGACAGTGGAGCAGAAAGAGGGGCAAGCAAGGGCTGGGAACTGAGAACACTGTGGGCCATGTCCGAGATTTGGCCTTTTATCCTAAGAGCAACAGGAATCCCATGAAGGGTTTAAAGAGTGGAATGACACGATCAGATCTGTGCTCTTAATGAGATGAGGGAATGCAGAAGAGTAAAAATAAGACTTGCAAAACCAGGGGGAAATGTTTTTTGAAAAGCAGCAACTTGGACGCAAGTATCTGACCTACAAACATTTGCTGTGAAGCCTGTTTTGTGATGGGAGCGAGCGGGTTGTTGGCTCTGGGATGCTGTGTATGAATGGGATGTCTGCACATAGCAGATCGTTTGGTGGGGCCCAGAGAGGGGCACTGCTCGGAACTGGCTACAGTCTGGACTCTGATAGTGATCCTGGGCTCCTGGCAGTCAGGCCAAAGCGCCTTCTTCCAGCTTCTCAGCATGGCGTCCCGAAGGGGCAACGTTCCCCAAACACATCTGTCCGTATTACAGGTTTCCGAGATGGGTCTCAGGAGATGCCAGGGGCCAGAGTGGAAACCAGATAAGCTAATTACATTTCACGTTCAGAAGAAGGAATTCAAATTAATCACAGAGCCTAATTAAACTCGGCTGTTAAGCCGAGGGGGCTCTGCCCCCTGGGATCTCCATAGAAAAGAAGAAATAGAACGACACTGTGGCATCAGGGTAGGTGCCCCTGGACTCGCTCCGGGGCACCTAGAATGAGACCGAGGTTCGGACGTCCAAGCCGCCACGACTGGCCGGGCCTGCAACCCCAGCGTGCCTGGTGGGGCTCTGGAAAGCAGGCTTCATGCCTGTTCACGGAGGTTTCTTGCAGCATGTGTTGGGGAACCAAACTTGGCATCCAAGTCTCAGAAAGATGGTCCACGCAGACTCTCATTCAGGCTACCAGACCCATCTGTGAGCCAAATGGGAATGAATACTTTGCACCTCCAGTCCCAGTTTCTAGCCTTCTATGAGAAATGTCTCCTCTCTACCTATATTTACATAAACCTCTGAACTGGGAAAGCGGCAACTTACACCTCCATACAATGAGATTCCTTGGGGGCGTGGTGGGCCGTGGGGTTAGGAAGCGATACACCTCAAACGCACACTGCTACTTACTGTTCTATTTCTTTTCTTTGGTTCTCCACTCTCATATGGCCGTTCCGGTTTCCTATGAACGTGAACCCATACCTGTCAAACAACATAAAGAGACCTCTGTGTATCTCTAAAGAACGATTAGTTTTCCCTTGCATGGGGGTTACTCATACTTGTTGACTGTTTGCTTCGCTCCCATGTGAAAAATCTCCGCCCCTAACTATACTTCTCTTGACTGGCTGAGAGGACGGCCCAGAGGAAGTCAAAGCCCAGTCACGAGTTAGAACGGAGGAAGAGGCAACCTGTAATTCCAATTCTGTAGCTAACACATCGGGTGGCCTTGTAACCGCTTAATGATCTCAGGCTTCAAGAGTGAAACGGGGCTGTCAGTTACAGAGTGACGTCATAGCTGCTGAGAACACTTCCGAAAGAACATGTGTTGTACAAAAAGTGGACACTGTCTTATAATTTGCAGACTATCATATGAACATTTGGACTTCCGGTTGGCATGCATAAATAGTAATGGAAGTTACATTTTGGCATCGCGATTTCCTTTCTGGTCTTAATTGGCTAGGTTTGGGGAATTTTTCACAAACGTTCAGATAAAGCACTTCGGGTTTCTATTAAAGAATATTTATAAGATAAGGTTATTGAAGCAAACAGAAAAAAACAACTCTGGTCCTCCTGTGATTTCCCTTTCTCCAGAGAAGTACAAGACGTGTGGACTCTTTGTTTTTTAACTCTTCGAGCATGCTAATGTATTTCTTTGCAACTGATCTCAGCGTTTCTGAAACAGCTTTATTGAGGTCTGACCGATATGCAAAGAATTCCACGTTTAACGTGTGCAAACTGAGAAGTCGGAACGCACTGCGACAGCATCGCCACAAGCGAGGAATGAGGCATATCCGACACCCCTCAAAACCGCCTTGTGCCCCCCTGGCATTCTGCTGTGTGTGGTACCCAACACTTAGCAGATCTCTCCTCTTAACAGATTCTGAATTGGGAAATACTGTGTTGTCAGCCACAGGTACAGGGCGGAGCCACAGCGCTCTAGAACTTTCTCATCTAGCATGACAGAAATGCTTACTTTTTAGCTCCTTTCACCAAAGCTATTTCATCTGGGGAAGAGGACATGTACGTCAGTTCAGCGGATTCTGCAGGGCCATCCACAGCATCGTTGCTTTTCACTTCCACGGTATGACATAAACACAAGGCACGGAGAAAGAGCTCCTCTCGGTTCTGCAGATCAGGAACAGAAAAACGACTGTGTCATTTTCCCTTTGATCACTTGGTAGTCAGTGAACAGAGAAAAGGTACGAATGTGAGAAAATGTTATCACCTCCAGCAAGGTGAGCAGATGAAAGTTCTAAAATTCTGATACTCAAATGAGCTGGAGACCCTCCCTTGTACCTAAGAGCATCCCTGGTTCTCAAGGAAAGTGCCCTAGGGGCTGCGTGAGCTCATTTGGGCCACCACAGTGTCACCTAACCCTGAATCAGTGGGTCCTTTATGGCCTCCAAGAGTTCATTCAGGGTGTAAGTCACAACCCAGCAACAGCTCAGGTGCAGGGAGACTTGGGTTCATTTAATGTCTAGACACTCCTGGGACCTGAATGATTGGGAAAGGGCATTATTCTCAGAGCAGCTCATATTTTTAAAGGCAAAGCATAAAGAATTCTGACTAAGCAGACAAGTGACCATTCTACCCAAATGCCATTTTCCACAATTCTGTTTCTAAGTTGGCCTTGTTGACAATTTCCGGAGGCGCGAGTGGAACAGAAAGTGGAAGTCAAAACGGCAAATGGTTGTTCAGAAGCCTGTGTCACGTGCTCTGAGGCTTCCCTTCCTACCATACACAGTGAGTACACGCACACGCGGACGGACTTGATGTGGTAAAATGAGAGTGCAGAGAACGCTACCTTATCTGCTTTGTCAAAATAGGTTAAGGGTCCATCAGTCTGAGAGAGTCCATCGGTCTCCTGGGCTACACCTTTATACTTGTGCCCATCTATGCAGCACTCAATGAATTCCATGCTATTTTCAGTGAGCGTTCCAGTCTTGTCTGTAAATATATAATCCACCTAAAAACAAGGACACAAACATAAATCAGTTTTACCGTCTGCAGCGTGGTTAGTTGTGAGGTAAGTTGTAAGGCAGGGCTGTTTTCATATCCATCGCAAAGCACTTTCCTAAGACCTCCGGTCAAACGTCAGGTAATTCAGAAAAGCAGTATTATGAAAAGAGTGGGAAACGAACGAATACTTTTCAAGACACCGAAACAGTATCCCATGTCCAAGGTTGATGCACTTAAATACAGAAGATTAACAGGAAAGAAAGATGTGGCTGTTTTATCAAACTGAGAATCTTTCAATTTATTGCTTACCTGTTTTGATGTAAATAAGTCCTAAAATAAAAGTTAATTTTCCAAGTGAGAAATAAGAATATATTGACCACTTATTATACACACACACACTTGACAGGAACCTAAATTGATTGGGATGTAACAGAACTTTTCCCTGAAAAGTAAAAATTACTATGAATATGCTAGATGGAAGTAAAATGCATTGTGTTATATAATGCGTATTGAGTCAGACAATATAGATGGTCCGGGAAAATAATAATGTCAAGACTTAATGAGGAGACAAAGTAAGTGTATAATGTTCAAAAACTAACAAATTTCTTTCCACGCACCATGTATATTTTTAGATACTCCTGAGCAAATTCTCTAAGGAAAAAAAAAACCCACGGAGTTTATAATACTAGGTTAAAGTAGAATACAAGCCAAAAAAAAAAAAGTATAACATAAGTGTACTTTCATAAATAATGGGGGGAAAAATAAGCTATGAAGTAAACTTTCCGTGCAAAATAAACCGTTTTGAGCACTTCCATTTTATCTCGGTTTTTAGCTCTTCTATTTATAACATCTGGCTTTTGGAAACCCACAATTTTATCCTCCTTTTTGGCAATTTATGCTTAAACAGTTAAAATGATGGGCTGACAGGAACGGGCATAAGCGCAAGATTAAGGTTTTCATTATGTAAGGGAGAAAGAGACGAGCTCCAGCAGTGGTTGCTTTCTAATTATTTTTCAAAGCTTTTCACGGCAGCAGCATTGGCACAAATATAGCATTCCAATCTTCCCTTTTTTGCTCTGTTAGCCAGCCAAGTTTGAAGTCTCTCTTTAAATTAATCCAAGCGGTATTATTCCTGTATCATCTAGATTTTTCTGGTTAAAATAAAATTCTTTGCAGCTTTGTTCCCGATCAAAATCATTTACCTTCATTCATATTCCCCTGAAGGTTGTCCTGGTTACTGCACCTCCTGCGCCTGGATGAGCGTTAGCCCATTAGAAATCTTTTAGGAGTGGCAGACGTGGTGGGTTTAAAAATATACAGTGCAGACGCGCTGGGGTGGCTCAGTTGGTTAAGTATCCGACTTTGGCTAGGTTCAAAGCCCCACATGGGGCTGTGCTGATGGCATGGAGCCTGCTTGGGATTCTCTCTCTCTCTCTCTCTCTCTCTCTCTCTGCCCCTGTCCTGCGCTCTCTCTCTCTGAGTAAACTTTAAAAAAAAAAAAAAAAAACTTAAAAAATATCTATAGCGCAGAAAACTTAAAAAAAAAAAAAAAGAAAAGTAGGGCAGGAGCGCCTGGGTGGCTCAGTTGGTTAAGCACCTGACTGACTCAGGTCATGATCTCACTGTTCATGGGTTTGAACCCCACGACAGGCTCTGGGCTGAGAGTGCAGAGCCTGCTTGGGATTCTCCTGCCCCTCTCCTGCTCACATGCTGTTTCTCCCTCTCTCAAAATCACTTAAAATAATTATATAAAGAGAGAGTGCAATTGTTTCCCTACATAAAACATTTTGTGTAGTGCATATATGCATACAATTAATCTCACAGGTACAGGCCAACAAACTGCACCCTAATATGATAATTATCATATAGGAGCATGCATTACACTCACTCACAGGGCTTGATACAACTCAGATTGTTGGTCTCTATTCCCTAGTTCCTGATTCAGCAGCTCTGGGGCAAGGCTAGGTAATATGAATTCTTCTTCTTCTCTCTCTCTCTTTTTTTTTTAAAGTCTATTTATTTATTTTGAGAGAGAGAGAATCCCAAGTAGGTTTGGTACTGCCAGCACAGAGCCCTATGTGGGGCTCAAGCTCTCAAACGGTGAGATCGTGATCTGAGCCGAAATTAAGAGTTGGACACTTAAGAGACTGAGCCACGCAGGCACCCCCGGTAATGTGCATTTCTAGTAAGTTCCTAGGTGATGCTGATGCTGCTGGTCCAGGGATTCTACTTTAAAAATCACTGCTCTAGTTATCATGTGCCCTATACTCAGGAAATGGGGAGGCCAGGGTCAGCTGTTACTAGTGGTCTCACATTTAATTTATGTTTTTAATGTTTATGTATTTATTTTTTGAGAGAGAGAGAACAAGTTGGGGAGGGGGAGAGAGAGAGGGAGACACAGAATCTGAAGCAGGCTCCAGGTTCTGAGCTGTCAGCACAGAGCCCGACGCAGGGCTCAAACCCACAAACCGCGAGATCATGACCTGAGCTGACATCAGACAATCGACTGAGCCACCCAGGCGCCCCGAAAATATTCTCACATTTAAAGAGTGAGAGGGCCTGCTGCTTGCCCCACTCTCCAAAGTCTCCTCCTGTCTAGTGGTGGGTTTGAGCCTGCTGGGAAGGCTCCTCTCTATCAGCAAACTCAAACCAATCATTTAACAGATGCAAAGCCTGAAGAGAGACCACTGTTCAGGGGTAGAAGGAGCCCTGAACTGAAGGTTCATGCACACACAGAAACACCTATTTTGTAGGTAAAACATTTTTGTTATTGTTCAACCTGATGGAGCCCCTGGACTGGTGTCTCAGCTCCACCGCCAACTTTGTGACCTTGGAAAAAAAAACCCTTCATCCCTGTGAACTTTGAATATTAACCTTAAATAGCTCAGCCTGCTGCACAAGGCTGTAAGTTAAGAAAACCGGGGCAGCTGAGCAGCTCAGTTGGTTCAGTGTCCCACTGCTGATTTCGGCTTAGGTCACCATTTCATGGTTTGTGAGATCGAGCCCTGCATCGGGCTCTGGGCTGACAGTGTGAAGCCTGCTTGGGATTCTCTCCATCTCTCTGTCTCTGCCCCTCCTCTGCTCGTGCTCTCCCTCTCAGAATAAACTTAAAAAAAAAAAAAAAGATTGGAAAATAAAGCACAATAATAAATGTTTATAAACTATAAGGGGTTACGTAGATGCTGACTGTCATTGCTGTGGACCTGACCGAAATCACACAGCACTTGACTTTCCATCATCCCACATGCCCTACTGTTCTGATCACTTAGGATCACATGGCTATAGTTAGGTACGATACGCCTGTTTCCCTAACTTGGAGGTGAACAACTTGAGGGTTTCTTGATTACTTTGTGACAGTAACCTCAGTACCATCAACATATTCTTTTTGTTTGTTTTAAATTTATTTTTGAGAGAGAGAGAGCGAGCGAGCACAGGTGGGGGAGGTGCAGAGGGGGGGACAGAGGATCAGAAGCAGGTTCCCTGCTGGCAGCAGAGAGCCTGATGTGGGGCTGGAACCCACGAACCGCGAGATCATGACCTGAGTGGAAGTCGGAGGCTTAACTGAGCCACCCAGGTGCCCCAACGTCTTCTTGATCTACAGCGGAAGTTCAATAGGTAACAAGTGGACTGAATTCCTGGAATCAGAACAGATCTCCAGATACACCATTCAGCATGGCTGCGAGGCCTAAAGGGGACAGAAAGCAGTAAGCTGGCCCCACAGAATATTTTCAAGATGGGGTGAAACCATTTACTTGTTTAAAAGATGGCTGCCTGATTATAAAAGTCTCCATTCTTTTCCAACTGGACTGAGCGGTCCACTCCTTTCTGTTTCTCGAATCGAACACTGTCTGAAACCCATCTTTCCATTTTTGAAATATCAATGTGGGTCATTTTTAAAGAGGTTGGGCAAGCGTTTGCAATGGTATCGATGGGAACTAATTGGCAGTGCTTTTTGTAACAGAAAAAGTCCTACAGATCTGAAATTATGACTCATCAAAGAGGAAACGGGTTGCACTTAATTCTGTGTGTACTGGTCCATTGAATGCTAAATGGCCTAGGAAACGACTTCAAGACTTCTTTGCATTTTCACTCAGGTAGTTTCCACACAGCGCCGCTGGTAATGAAGGCAAGTTGTTGTTGCGCCGAAAGTGGTGGTCTGGCTATTAACTTGGACTAAATGACAGTCACACTGAGAAAGGCAGATTCGGGTGGGGGCACGACGTGGTGACTGAAATGAAAACTGTAGTTTCTTTTCCCTGATCAAATTTCCCAGATCATTACCCAAAGCTCTCCTTTCCTTTCTGCAGTGTGAGGACAGCCTGAATGGTAGGAACAAGATTACATTCCCATAGGACGCGGAGTCTGCCGAGGGGGGAGATCTGAAAGAACGGGGGAAGAGTCTCATTCAGTGGGACCTGGCCGGAACGACACCCTGCCTGTCCTTGGCGAGCACCAGGAGTCACATGCTGAAGGATGGCCGTTCTATTTACAGTACCCTGGGGCTCCCGCCACATTCATCCTTAGCTTGGTGAATCCACAGCTCCGGGCCCTGGATCTAGAAGAGGCAGACTGACTCAAGGAAATCATCTGTCAAGGCAAGTTCACCAGAGGTGGCTTATCACTCAGTGGTTTTTTTTTTTTTTTTTGCATGCAATAATGCTCTAGACTGATGCTGTTTATTGGGACTAAAGTAGGCCTATTCACACAGCTTAGTTCCCGGATGAAAACTTCTGGCTTAAAAAGGTTAAGTAAAGTCCGCCGTGGCAGCTGAAGTCACCTTCCAAAGAGTCTCTCGGGAACAATATGGAAGGGGAAGCATTTGTTCATCCGTTTCTGGTTCTATCCTTGGTGACTCAGTATCTCTGTGGGATGCGGATCCCACAGTCGGGGGTTTTGGAGTCGTGCAGTCAGGTCTCAACAAAGTGACATCTGGAGTGTCCTTTCACCCTTGTGACTGCGGCGGTTAAGATGGTCCTTGGGTTTAGGCAGAGGTGGGATAAAGAACAGAAAGGGCAGGGGAGGGAGAGGAGGGGACTAAATTCAGGAAGAGAGCTTTGAGGTGTAGATGTAACTCGGCACCATTTAAAACCAGCGTGAGGCCCTGTTCCAGCCACGGCAGCTCCACGAGCTGAATTTGCATCACGCAGTCATAGAAATGACATTTCCGCAGCCTTGACATTCTAAATATCATGAGGATGAAATGAAAGCCAAAAAAATTCCCACAGCTTGTGTGAAGATCATTACACGGCACACAGTAAATTCAGACAAAGGGAAAACCTTCCTCAAGGCTGGTAAGAAAAGCACCTGAGGAAGTCATCCTTTGAAGGATGACAGTTAGACTGCACTGGCTTGGAAAACAAAGGAGGCCACAACCTGGGCTGCACTGGTGTATGAAGCAAAAAGCGCTTTGAGGAGCGTATGCCCTCATATTTTGCCTTCATTTAAATTCTTGCACTGGAATAAAACAACTCTGCTTGCTAGGAATGTATGCGTCTGATCAGAAACGTACCAAGAAAATGTCAGGAGGACACCACCAGTCAATTTTGTTTGCGGAACAAGATGCATTCGTAAAATAGCTTTGTTTACTACCTTACAGTCTATTCCCAAACGGTAATAGACGGTGACTGCACGTGTCTGTTCCAAAGTCAATACCACCACCACCAGGTGAGGTTTCAAGAAAATGTCTCAACATTCGAATTTAATACATAAATTGGGATACTCCTCAAAAGCGCCAACAAAATACTTAACGCTGTAGCCATGAAAACATTGCTTGCCTTCACGATATGCCTGTATAAAGGGATACTGGAATCACATTTCCAAACATGAAATGGCCACATACACTGGTGATCCAGAGCACAAGAAAAGGTATTTTCAAATTAACTTATTTTAAGTAGAAACGCATTCTAACCTGCCCAAGTTCTTCATTAAGGTCTGATGTGTTAACCAGGGCCCCTTCATTAATTTCTTCATCATAGAAATCCTTATCCCACGAAATGAAGAAGGAGCCCAAGAATTTCTGCATTTCCACGGTGACATACATGGATACAGGAATGATAAAGTTGAATAGTACCATGAATGACAGGAAGTCGGTGAACATTTTCAAAACCTAAAACAAAAGAAACAGTTCATGCTGATTACATGCACAGTTCCATCACACAAGTACAAAATAACTAACTTGCTTTTTATTTCAAAGCTGAAAGCACTCCTCTTGCTATAAAAAACTTCCTAATGACACTAGATCAGAGGCCAAAATTCTTATCACAGGATGTAAAAACAACATTTAAAAACACCCTCAATTTTGGGGCGCCTGGGCGGCTCAGTTAGGTAAGCATCTGACTCTTGATTTCAGCTCAGGTCATGATCTCGTGGTTCGTGAGTTCAAGCCCCACATCGGGCTCTGTGCTGACAGTGAGGAGCCTGCTTGGGATCCTGTCTTTTCTACTCTCTGCCCCTCCCCTGCTCGTTCGCATTCTTAAAATAAATGAATAAACTTAAAAAAAATAAAAATAAAAAACACCCTCCCTCAATTTTATAATTATTCTTCAGTCAATGTACCTTTTGACGTAACATTTTTTCACTTCCTTAAATTCTCTGTCCTCCCTGCAACATGAATGTAGGATCAAAGTTTCTATGTAGGTGTGGATTCTGTTCCTACCGTATTACAAGCCAGAGATTCTTGCTCAGTTGTTTAAAACTCTTAACTAAAGAGCCAAACACAAGCACAGATGTCTATAGTAAAACAAAAACAAAACCTGGAAAACTTCTTCAATATCTAATAGTTGAGGGCTGCCCTAGGATGAGAGAAAACTCAGAAGCTAACAAGAGGTATCATTATCTGAGCAGCATTTCAATAACGGGCGGCTTGGTCACCAAGTGCTAGAGTTAAAATGGCTAGCAAGAGTTACATGTTTCGGCATAACACAAGTTACCTTCAAAGTCTCCCGCTCTTTCTGAGTCTTTTGGTTATACCAAGGTTCATCGTTATATGGGGTACTTTGCCAAACATACTTTAGAGTTGTGCACACTGCAGCTTTGGTCAGTAAGATGAATAAATATACAATCAGGAAGGCATTAATGGATCTGAAAAATAAGATATGATGGATTTAAAAAAAAACTACAGAATTATTTAAGATATCAACCATGTATAAATTACAGTGTTCAGTTTCCTAACGCTTCTTCTGCGTGCAGCGTGTAACCACAGCACAAGGCGGTACGTACGAACCTCAGTTCTCACTGCAGAAGTGTTATTGTCCGGTGGTAAAGTGGAAAGGCCAGCCCTGACCTGTTTGTGGGTCACCGAGGCTCCGAAAAGTACAGTGGCCAGCTAGCTTACCACACCTGTGATCAGGATCCTCTAGGGACAACAGACATACACACACATGCACGTCACCTACCCAACCCTTATAGAAAGACTAGGTCATTTCCATTTCCCTAAGTCTGAATGGGTTGGCGGTAGGGAGTGGGGGAGCAAATGTGAAATCCTCTAACTTAGGACAGATCCTTCTCATCTGAAAGTAGAGCTATGGACAGGATGTACTGGGGACCCATGGCAACGACACACCCTTGCAGAGCTAACAGGCTGACCACGTCAATATTTGCCAGGAGACCATTCTCTATGTCGTTGAACTTCTTACATACAGCCAAGTAGAGGAACTGAAACCAATTATCTAGCAAGAAGACAGAACACATTTATATCTCAACTAAACTTTGCCCTTGAATAGCTACATGAGCTTAGGTAAGTCATTTATCATCTTGGAGACTAATTCTTCATCTGTAGAGCAGACAGGCTGATAGGAATTACTGTGTAGAGCTGCTCAGAGGATTAGACTCAATCAGACATACAAATTGCCAAGTGCAACTCTGGAAGGTAAAAAGTGCTTGCTATGGGAGCTGCTATTATAATTGATGTTTTCTTGTTAGGGTCGGTATTTGGAATTACTGAGAAGTAACTCTTCCACAGTTCTATCACGACTAAAGAAACTGCGGTGCGCACTAACTTTTCAACAGCAGAACGTTTCTGAGATTTCCCTTGGTAGTTCAAAGCCATTTTGGTTTCCATTCCAGTGTAAACAGCAACTCCTAAGGAATAAAAGAATATAATGAAAACTGGGTTCCAAGGGCCATTGCCAACCAACTTCCCACCGAGTTGGATCTATCCATTTCTTTCCATCTCTAAAAGGAAGGATTCTAAACCTCAGTCTAGTCACCAGTTGACATATCATTTATAATATAATTGTAACTCTACATACTTTATCTGTCATGCTTCGTGTTAGGTTACCAGCTTATGAAGTCCCACCCCCTAAAAACAGGCATAGGTTCAGCGGCAATTATCTGCCATGTTTAGTTTTTAACATGCGCTATTTGCGCACGGGCTTTACAAAGTGTATTTCTGAGAAGTAGATCTTTAAAAATTGCTTACCATATATCTTCTTGGTATTTTTTAGTGTAGCTCCTTTCAACAAGAGATTTTCTGGTCCCAAAGACCTAAATGAAAAATGAACACAGCTTATCCAAACAGCCCGATAAATTCATCAGCACCAACTCTGGGGACGTGATTGGCCCAAACACACACCTATCTCCCAGGGGGTTCAGACTGTATCTTTGCACTTGTATCTCACGCTTACTCCCAGGGTGAGCTGCAAGATCTTTCCACATGAAGTTCCTTGAGGGGATGGGCCCTCGCAGATGGAAGCAAGGCACAGAGGCAGAGGCAGCAACACACAGAGGTAGAGAGACGCACAGAGAGAGAAAGGGATGAGGAGTCAGAGGCAGCGAGAGCAGGAGTCAGAGGCAGTGAGAGCAGGGCGGAGCAGCAGGCAGCAAGAAAGATAACGGAAAGGTGACAAATAAAAGACTGGGAAAGCAGCTGGCACGGCGGGAAAGACACACAGACATATTTATAGTCAACCCGCCTTTGGGGCCATCGCGGGGCACCTAGCATTTCAATTCCTTGTGGGCGTGGCTGTAAAGGCCAAGTGGGGGAAGTTGCGGTTTGGGCGACAGAAGAGGGAAGAAAACATCCCTTTTTATATAGATTGCTCTGTTATAGATCACTAGGCTTCCATTTCATTTAAGTCCAGGTAATTCTCTCAGCTTCTGAACTATCCCCTCAGCGCTCGATTACTCTCCGCCAAGCACGGTTTTCAGGGCACACTTGGGAGCACAGCCTGCCGCTGCATGGCATGACCGGATTTGGGGCGCTTGGTCCACGTGCCTGGAGCTCTAAAATTTTGGACACCCTCAGGGTCACTTCCAACACCACCATCCACACCCACTCGGAATCCCCACCACCACAGCCCTACCAACCCTGTCACTGAAGACCTACTGGGACTGGGACGCTGGCTAGTTAATCCAGCTTTAGTCACCTTTACGTCCCTTTCTAGAGAGAAAAGGATTTGGCTATTTTAATGGGCTTTCAGGAGAAAGATACCCACCCCTTCAAGAGAAGGACAGATTTAAGGAATGACAAACTAACCTGGCGACAGCCTCAAGACAATCACTATAGATGTTGATTCGCCCAACAAACCTGCAAAAAGAACATAACGGCAAATGTGTCTTCTATATCAACATAAACATCTATACACCACAAAAATGGAAAGGGAGCGAGATACAAATAATACAAACGGGATAAGACTACACGAACCACAAAAACCCATTCTATTCCTCGGGGGGAAAAAGGTATATGGAACCCACAAGGTGTGTAACATTGTCGTCTAATTCTTAAAATATTACGGATTAGAAGAATGCAAACCAAGTTTCTGAATCGATTTTCAAAATCTACTTGGCATTGTGCGTGCACACGACACCCCTGCTCATTTACACGTTATATAAATAATTGATCTCAATTTTAGATTTATGTGAAGAGAGGTTTCTGGTGCTAAAACGCAACTTTGAAAACCAGTTCGGGAGTTGTTTGACTCGTGCACGCAGCAGAATCAATGAAAAGCATATTAAACTGTAGATTTCTGGGCCCCATCCCCAAGCTTAGGATTCACGTGAGAATCTGCACTTCCAGCAGGTTCCCAGGTGCGGCCGCTGCTGGCCCAAGCTCACCTTTGAGAACCACCACATTAGACTTAGACAGCAAACATCTGATTGCCGTCTTGGAAATTTCCAACCTGTGTCTTTTGGTTGATCTCAATACTGGGCTTGATCTGATCCCTTCATGCGGCTGGGCACAGGGTAACCCGCGTTTCTCAAAAATGGGGTAAAAAGCTTGAACTCTCCTTCACAAGAGAGTTCCAAGTATTTTACAATTTGTGCTGTAATTGTTTTTCAGAAAAATGGAACGATTATTATTCTACGCATAAAGTACGATGGTCCGCTCATTCATTCACCACATATTACTTGTGCCAGTGCCATGGAAGGTGCTGGAGGCACATGATAAGAAAGACCTGTTCCTCACACGAGACAGAGGGACAAGTAAACAGGCAATTACAGTGTAAATGATCACCACTAGGGGGACACAGGTGCGGGTATTCTGAAGTCAAAGCAAAGGAATTAGATCCGGTCTAGAGAAATCTTTCCAGCCCTAAAATTCTTTCATATTTAAGGTAAGTGAAAAACCTAGGAGTTGCCACATAGACATGAAAAATGTATATATTATTCTCTAACAAAGGCAGAATTAGTCACTCCTTTTCCTATGAGTCCAGGGGCCTTCTACTTTTTTTTTTTTTACATTTATTCATTTATGAGAGACAGGGTGAGACAGAGTGCGAGCTGGGGAGGGGCACAGACAGAGAGGAGACGCAGAATCCAAGCAGGCTCCAGGCTCCAGGCCCCAGGTCAGCGCAGAGCCCGACGCGGGGCTCGAACCCACGAACCATGAGATTGTGACCCGAGCCAAAGTCGGACACTTAACTGACTGAGCCGCCCAGGCGCTCCTCTACTCCCTTCTATTACGTCACTGTACTCTAAGCCTAGCTGCAGTATTTTATCTGCCTTGCAAACTGCAAGCTCGTTGAAGACAGGGAACAGCTGGTTTGTTCTGTGGTCCCGGCTCCAACGATCAAGGTGGATAGAGAGGGGGGCGCCTGGGTGGCTTAGTCGGTTAAGCGTCCGATTTTCGCTTAGGTCATGATCTCGCAGTTCGTGGGTTCGAGCCCCGTGTCGGGCTCTGTGCTGACTGCCAGCTCAGAGCCTGGAGCCTGTTTCAGATTCTGTGTCCCCCTCTCTCTCTGACCCTCCCTTGCTCACTCTGTCTCTCTCTCTCTCTCTCTCCTAGAAATAAATAAAAATATAAAAAAAAAAAGGTGGATAGAGAGGAAGGGAAAGAGGAAAGAAGGGATGATGGGAAGGAGGGAAGATGCTGTTCGTGTAGCAGGATGACTACTTTGTTTTTCCATTACTGCGCGTTGGTGTTAAGCCACATCCAACCATTTGGTCCCCCATTATGACCAACAGCATTCACTAACAAGATGCCTGGCATGGGTAACTGGTGGCATCTGTAACGGTGGAAAAGAATGAGATTAATTGGCCCACGTGGGGATAAAACCTGTTACTCTACCCTGATGAACAGCATGCTCTAATCAGCCAAACTAACCAGTCTTAAAAATCAAATGCCAAATTGTTGACAACCCACGATGACTGTTAATCAGCAAATCTACTCCAGAAAGCCCAGGGAGAGTAAAACAGAGGAAATGATTCAACCTAACTGTTTACTGAAGACAAGAAACAGCCTATCTGCAATACTCAGTTCATCATGATCGTCAGAAAAAAGGGTAGAGGGCACGGTTCCACATCCCATTCCTCTCTGGCATGTTGAATGACACATAACATGGTCTATTTTTGTTTTAATTAACTCTGATTAACGCACGAATCTGACAGATCAGCCTTTTGGGATGACCTAATCTCCAACTTTGATAGACGGTCATGTTTACAAATCACAAAAATAAGAGAAAAACTACAATTCAGGAGGGATCTGGGCCCACAACGATTTATCTGAGGCTGGTAGTGAACAAGTGGATTTGATTCATTTCTCTGCCAGGAGGAAAGAACAGCTCGTAAAAACACAAATGAAGGAAGGCTGGTAAGTGGTGGGTGTTTCTTTGCAACACTAGTGGTGAAGGGAAGCAGAGTCAACAGCCAGCTGGAAGATGAAGCCAGGGGATTCTTACTTGTAGAGGTCAGGTTGAGGCTGTTCACATTCAATCGCTGCTCGGAGGGTATCAATGGATTCGGCTGTACATAGTGCAATGGTATCACGTACTGCATAATGGGTCTGGGTAAATGCAGAAGAAAAAGCAAAAGCAGAGGGGAAAAAAAAAGTGATTCTTTTCATAGTCGTACACCCACCTTATTCCAGGAACACAGTATGTTTCCATAAGAGGCTTTGCCAGAATAAGGCAAATATTGATGCACATTTCCCACTAACTAAATTTTATGGTTTTATTCTTCAAATACATTACAAATAATTAGAAAGATAACCATGCTGCAAAGGGATTTACAAGATAATAATAATAAAAAAAAAACTAAAAGCTTTCCTGATAGGGACGGCAGAGAGAATTCCATTTGTAGCATGCACATCCTTAACTGAAAACCTAATGAAAAAATGTAATCCATTTATTTTTTTTCTCCCATTTGTAGACCTGAGACCTATTACTTTGCTCACCATAGAGTACGGTGATATAAATACATACATATAAATTGAACATAAATCACCCTTTTGGTCCTAAGAAGGCTAACATTTTGGCAATAGGAAGAAGAAAAATTCATTAATAGATCCATTATGCAAATAGCATTATTAGTGATGTTGAAAATGCTCAAAGAAGCCACATTTTATATGAGGAGGAGGGATCTGATGCGTCTTGCTTCAGTCAGACAGAATATTCTACTAGTGTATACTATGCACTTGATTTACCCAGAATTCAAGGCAGGCTCCAATAAACCCATCTATAAATCATCAAAGGAGGGCTAACATAGACTGAAAGACTGCAACCACTTATGCACAAGGGAGAGCCGTGGCACGGTCTTCTGGGAATATTACGGAACTGCCGGAGCTATATTTAAAACTATCACCTGACTCTGAAAACCCATGTACTTTTAGCTGATTTGATCAGATCTACTTCACTGAAAAGAGAAAGCACTTGAATGTTTTCTTCCTCTAGGCAACTTTTTCCCCTATTAGGGAATCTTTAGGTACATTTCTCGATTTTTACCTTGACGTTCCCTCCCTCAAATTTAACTTTGTGTTTGAACAGTTCAAGTGGACGAGTTCATCACATGCCCTTGAAGTACAGAATTCGTCATCTAACAGGCAGTTTGATTCCCGTTTCACATACTGAGTCCTGGTTCATGACTCCAGATGGAATAAACAAGCAGAGAAAAGGCCTCAAGGATACACACAGAGGTGAGCACATTAGTGCCCTCCCTTAAAGGCATTGTAGAGAGGATGCATCTTCATGTCCTGTGGAGCTCTGGACAATGGCCAAGAACTGATTGCCAGAAAGTACCACGGAAGTAAGTTATCTTCCAGTTTGAGCACACTTATTTGAACACATTTATAATCCTTCCTAGCTGCAATAAAACAAACATTCGCCAAACAAAACCCTGAGGCATTTTTTTAAAAAAGCAATCAAATCACTCCAAGTTAGAGACTCTGTATGCCATGCATGAGTAAACATTTTTTAAAGAAAATATTCATCCCTTTCAGAAATAAAAACAGGTCCAAGATTAGAGTCTATGAAGTTATTTCTGTAGTTACGTAGTTTAAGCCTATGATGACACTGATTTAAAAAAGCCCAGGGGCGCCTGGGTGGCTCAGTCAGTTAAGCGTCCGACTTCAGCTCAGGTCATGATCTCCCCGTCCGGGGGTTCAAGCCCCGCATCAGGCTCTGTGCTGACAGCCTGGAGCCTGCCTCAGATTCTGCATCTCTTTCTCTCTCTGCCCTCTACCATCACACTCTCTCTTATAAAAAAAATAAAAAAAATTAAAAAGCCCAAATAAAATGCTGAATGGGATATGTCAGTATTAAATCCAGTTGTGCTACAAAAAAATGTAGTGGCTTTTATTTGGGGCATGCATTTTCCTCACTGAGCTCCACCCTTTCCCCAAAAGTCATTTATTTGCTTAGAAATTCAAAGACAATGATACAAAAGCTGTATGGTGAACTATCCCAAACTCAGTATGATTCGGCGAGGCTTAGGCAAGCTTCCCTTTCCATTACCTTGCAATTGGATTCCCCGTCAAGACTGGCTGTGGTGACGTAGCAGGTTCCGTCGCTGGTACAAGACGACAGGAGAATAAGATCACAGGGGAAGGTCTCATCTGCCTGTACCTCTACTACATCACCAACCTAGTAGGCAGAGAAAAAGGAATGTTCTTAATTCCAAACAAAGCATTCATTAGATCTCAGACTAAAGCCAAAACAGTAGCAAGTGCCCTCCCCTGCTCATAGAGAGTGTCTCAGCGTTCTATGCCATGCGAAAGATGATGAAACAATAGTGTGTGACATTCAGAATCCTCCTTAAGGTCACAAGGACTCCTGGGTGCGGTCAGATTACCTTCCTGTTGAACTTTAACCTCAAATAAGCAATTTCGGTACCCAGGGACACATTTGCTCTCTGATGTTTTGGGCACCGCTGTTCAGTAAGACACTGGCCATCATCACTTCATGAATGAATCCAGAAAATCTAAATGTCTCACGCTGAGCACTCCCCGAACAGCGGGGAGCCACTGTTCTTACTCTGCATCATGCCAATTTCGACACGCGTTGCCTTCCACGTGCTAACAGCTGTTACCGTAGGATACCAGCTCCCACCTCAGTGCTCGGAAAATGTAGTCAGAGAGGCATCTCTCTTTCCCATAATGCTGCACAAAGGAAAATAATTTTCGAATAGGTCGCTTTCCAATAATTCATCTGCTATCAGAAGAATCCATTAATACAGCCATGAGGAACAATTTCCTATCAGCAAGTCCCGAAGCTCAAGTGCAGGAAAAACAGGAGAGAAGAAATCATGAACTATTCCTTTTACAGAGACTGTAATAATGTAGGAAATAAATCATAATGGTTAAAAGGTAGGACTGCTTTTTTTTTTTTTTTTAAGTTTACCTATTTATTCTGAGAGTGAGAAAGAACACGAGCAGGGAGAGGCAGAGAGAGAGGGATGGGCGGTGGGGGGGGGAGGCGGAGAGAAAGAGAGAGATCTTGCAAACCACGAAATCATGACCTGAGCCCAAAACAAGAGTCTGACGCTTAACTGACTGAGCCCCCCCAGGCACCCCTAAAAGGAAGGACTTTTAACCTGACTTTACGTCTCGGCTCTGCCACTTCAATACGAGCTGGGGTAAGCGCCTTAGATGGTCACAACGACCTCACGGGATCGGTCTGAGCATGACGTGAGGATGCAGGTACAGTGGTCAGCGAAGTACCTGGCACACGTTCACCATATGATGACTCTTACGAATACACTGCAATTACTACTCCCAACCTATGAATTGTCGTAAGATGGTTGGGCAGGATGGAGGAAATCAGGCAGAGGTTGGCGCTTCCGCACCTTTTCCGTATTGCGGCACAGAGAAAACGTCAAGTATCTGTTTTGTACAGCACCCCAGGTAGACAGATGAAACTGCTCATGGCAGCAGAGACGGGCCACTTCGGCAAGGGGGAGTGGGGGGGTGGGGTAATGTCCGTATCTAACATCCCAACCTGGACGCACTGGTTGTGAGGTGCCAAATAAATGACACACCTGCCTTCTATCTGCCACACGATTTGGCAGCTGGACATGAGGACTGCAAGACCTAGTCAGGAGCCGTTTTATTTTCCTGCCAATCTTAATCGGCAGCCAAGAACAACCGCATCAATAACTGAACTAATTTGTAAATAATATTTTGTTGGCTCTTCCCTTCCTCACTTACATAAACACTTATGTTGCTTACAGAAAACCCCAATCTAGGATTGAATACACAGACGAGAAATAACAAACACAGTCCTAAGTCATCTGAGAAGAAGGAAACACTTGTTAAAGGGTGGAGAGGGTTTTCAGGCGCCGAGAAAGAAATGCTGCGAACAGACCAGTTCCTCCATGCCATTTATGATTTGCAGAGGCGAGGCCTTACCCTGAAGGCAAGGGAGGAGCAGGAACGGGCTTTTAAGGAAAAGGAACAACACAGTGTCCGGAAGCAGTCACCTCGGGTTCTGCCTCCAATCAGCGTGTTACAAGAACACCTCCGTCCCTCGTGATAAATATCAGAAAAGGCCAGATCACCTACAAAATTATGGTTTTATTTATTTTTTTTTAGTTCATCAGAGAGCTGAGGTTGCGAGGCAACCGGGTGCACTGAATTTCACAGGGTGGGAAGCCCTTGTGGGGAGACAGGAGAAATGAACTGTTTCCCAGTTCACAAGGCACAGGAGCAGCAGATGACAGCCATAAAAGGCCAGCAGAAGAAAAGAACTAGATTTTGAAGCATTTCTTCAAGGCTTGACGGGAGCTAACGCGACAGTTTCAAATCCCTGCAAACCTGACGGAGAAGACGGGATCACAACTACTCATCGTTTCTTCTTCACAGCCATCCACGGGGTGCTCACGAGAAAACGCGAGGGCAGGAGGCCTCCGAGAGCCTTCCCTTGCGGGTACGGGCATACAGGGTGAGACGGACGGCTGTGCAGAGACAGGTGCAGAAAATGCCAGAATTGTGGACCCTCCTCTCACAGGAGGCAAAAGCCATCTATGTTCAGGGGAAAGGCAAGAAGCCTTCCCTGGCACAGTCTCAGGAAATGTGACCGCTGCCAGAGGAGAGGTAGAACAGACATCCTCTGCTCCACCCACGATCTCAGGGCCATAGGGCCTGCTGGAAGCGCAGGGTGGAAAAGGAACACTGCCGAAGGCCCCCTGGGACCCGAGGCCCCACACAAAGCACAAGGCAACGGCAACCCAGCACTCTTGGAACTGCAATTTCTGATGGTGTACTGAATGAAAGTAGCAAGAGCTATACAGCGAAAACCAAAGCCGGCTCCAGTCACGACTAGACTCCCTTACCCTCCACACTGATGGGCTGACGGAAGACATGTGCCCATTTCAGAACATAAATGCGATTGACTCAGGTCTCTAGCACTGTTTTACATACGATGTCCAAAATTCAATATAAAAATACAAGACACGTAAAACACAAGACAAAGATGACCTAACACAAAGAGACAAAGGAATCAACAGGACCAGTTCCCAAAATGTTGGGATGATGGATTTTAAGACAGGAATGTAAGAATAAAATTAACTATGATTAAGGGCGCACCTGGGTGGCTCCATCCGTTAAGCATCTAACTTCAGCTCACAGGTCGTGATCTCACAGTTCGTGAGTTTGAGCCCCATGTCAGGCTCTGTCAGGCTCTGTGCTGACAGCTCAGAGGCTGGGGCCGATTTCGGATTCTGTGTCTCCCCCCCTCTCTGTCCCCCCCCCAGCTCACGCTCTGTCTCTCTCAAAAATAGACATTAAAAAAAATTAAAAATAACTATGATTAAGGTATCAAAGCATTTAGTGGAAAAAGCAGACAACATACATGTGCAGATGAGGAATTGGGGCAGAAATATGGAAACTACAAAATAAGGCAAAAGAGAAGCTTAGAAATGGAAAACATGGTACCAGCGGGAATGCCTTCCTTCAATGGGCTTATCAGCAGACAGGATACAAAAAGGGAAATAACCAGGAAACTTGAAGAAACTCTTCCGTATTTCCAATGCCAATACCCATACTTTTGCCTACAGAGAACTGTGCTTTCCTTTCACCTTGGACTTCCTCAAGTCCTCTATGTAGACTCTCTTCTCTATAGTCTAGGATTTGATCTCATCCCATGGCTTCATGTACCATCTACATGTTGATGAAACTCAATTTCAACTGCCAGCTCAAACATGGAACAAACATGTTCCAGCCTAGACAGTTCCATCTGGATGCCTAATACAGATCTCCAATGTGACATGGCTAAAATGGAATTCTTGGTTTCCCCTTTACTCTCACATGTCACTAAACCCATTCTTCTCTCCCTGAATCTCTATCTTATTTAATGGCACCGGCATCTGGTTTAAATAGCCCAACGGGATTCACCCAACTGGTCAGGCCAAAACCATGAAGGCTATCTTTGTTTTTTTTGTTTTTTTTTTGTTTTCCTCTTTTTCTCCCTCCCTGCATCCAATACATCGCTAAGTCCTGATGATTCTACCTCCAAAATACATCCCAAATAGATCCATTTATCTTAATCACAAGGCAGGTGGTGCAAAGTTGTGGTTATGAGCGTGGACCCTACACCCAAACGTGTTTCAAATCTCAGGTTTTCCACTTACTAGTCATGGACAAGCTTCTTAATCTCCCTGTGCCTCAGTTTTATCATTTGTAAAGAGGGAACAGTACAAGTACTTACTTCATATGACTGTTATAAAGTAAGGATTTTTAAAAAATGTTTATTTATTTATTTAGAGAGCGAGCAAGAGCATGTGAGCCGAGGAGGGAGAGAGAATCGCAAGCAGGCTCCATGCTGCCAGCACATAGCCCAATGCGGGGCTCGATCCCATGAACCGTGAAATCGTTGGCCTGAGCTGAAATCAAGCGTGGGACACTCAACCAATTTTAAGCCACCCAGGCGCCCCTAAAGTAAGGATTAAATCAGTTAATATAATGTGAAAGGGAATACCTGGCATATTTATGTTATGTATAAATGTCAACTACTATTTTTATTATTGTTTTCTCTACTACTATCATCCTAATATAGGTGCTGAGGCTCTTTTGCAAGTCACTCCTGGCTTTAAAACCCTTCAAAAAATTCCCACTGCACTGAGGATGCACACCAAGTTACTCTCTTACTCTACAAGCGTCAACCCACTCCCCACGCAAGCAATCAAACATTTAGATACTTTTGGTTTAAAAGCATTTCTTGCCACACACAAATATTCCAGAAAGGGCCGAATCAACCGGCATTTCACACAATAGCATAAACTGATTTAATTAAGATTATACCTGGCTGAGATCAGCCTCAAGACAGAGAAGCCTGATGAACAAAAGGAGGAAGATGGGGGCAGCCTTTCTAAAGGGGGTGGGGGGTGACCACAAAACCAGAAAGAGGAAACGAGAGAAAGGGAGAGATGTGGGAAATGTTTACTTGCTTCGCAGTTTTATTTAGTGCCCTGGGAACAATGGATTTAATGCTATGAATCATTTAGTCTCCGTTTGGTTACTGCGATGAACAACAATGCTGAGTTTCTAAGACTGGTTTGGGAACTTCCAATCGTAACCACTCTAGTTCAGGGTCATCCCCTACGGGATGCAGACAATGGAGGAAAGAAAAAAGGGTAACAGGAAGACATT